TTTTTAATGGTTTCGACTTTGTAAGGAGATGCGAGAAAGTTTTAAACTTCTGCTTGAAGAAATATCAGAACAAAGTGTTAAATTTTTTCAAGACACGATTTTTCTGCTTCTTTTGAAGCAGAATTCCAAACGCTCACATTAATCTCATGATGAAACTAGAAAACTATGTAGACTTTGTTTGAATTGTGTACTACATTAGCCTACTCTGACTGCCAGAAATTTTTAACCATGCTCCCCTCTTGCCGTAAAGTTTCACTTTTTTTTTGCCCAGTGTTCATCCGTATGCTTTAGACTCACTTTCTTCTATTTTAGGCAAGGAGTGAAGATGAAGAAGACAATGCGAAAAGCTTCCAAAATGGTCAAAAGTATTGTGTTTGTTCAGCTTCCTCAACTGACCGCACCCTCTCCCATCAGCGACCCGTTGTTTTACACCGTTTCTCTCGCATTGCGACAAAACACTTTTGTGCTCTTTTTCTCTCTTTTTCTAAGTCTCTTCTAATCAAAACTCAAGTAATTTAGTTGATAAACGAATATAGAGAAAAAGGTCAGAAAGAGAACAAACAACACACACTTCTTCTAACCTATTTGCCGTACTAATCTGTCACTCGAATCGAACAATAAGGAACTGTCAAAAAGGAGAAATGGTTTGAGAAGATAAAGAAGAAGAAGTGTGTTAAAAGTTCGAAGGAGATTACCTCAAGTAGTACCATAATGCGGCGAGACAAGCAATTCCGACGACGTGTAGAACTGCGGATGGAAATATGAAATAGTTGATGTAAGAACGGGGTCGTGGAGCGGGTACTGTAGTCACACCTCCGTATTGGCTCGCCGAGAACACCTGAAACCCAGAAATTCACAACAATTTCAGAATTTTTTTCAGATTAGTGAAGTTAGATAAAATCTTCTCTCCATTTTCAATTTTCATTCTGAAATCTAAAAAAAAAATACATTCCTAGGTTTCGAAAGAGCTCTGTGAAACTTTAAAATCGGTCTCTGGAAAGTAATTCACAATTTTTGAACAGATTTCTAGAGAATCTGTTCAATTTATATTCCGATTTCAACTTTTCAATAACTTTTGAATTCTGCTACCGTAAAACCTGTAGTTGAAGGGCTTTCGAATTGTCTACTTTGAGCAATTCTATCTCCGTCCCGGTAAAAGATATCAAAAAGTAATAAACTGACAAAATGTTGATTATAATATTATAACTATTTTACCTACTGAACATTTTTTGATATCTCTTACAGGAAAAGAAATAAACTGGCTCAAATTTTACTATTATGTGGCTCTCTTTAGTGCTAAACTTTTTATTACATTTTGGAGGTTTTGGTTTTTCACATAAAATATTAGGGAAATACTTTTCACAAAGCTCGCGCTCTACCGCACCGCCCAGATGGCCGAGTTTGGTTGGAAGAGTTTGGTTGGCTGGCGATATTTTAATTTTAAAACGATAAAACTTCATTTCTGAAGAAAAACTGTGAAATTGAAGTTTTATTGAAGAAAATAGATCAAAATCGTTTTAAAATTGAAATATCGCCGCCGGCCCCCGGCCGCCAGCCAACCAAACTCGGTCATCTGGGCGGTGCGGTAGAGCGCGAGCTTTGTGAAAAGTATTTCCCTAATAACCCAGAAAAACTTCTTCGCACGCTTATAAAATGGTGCATATGGTAGTGAGTTACATCAATATTCATAATCAAAAAAGGAATATGTCCAGCTTGAAAATTGCATCCAATATAAAATTTCAAAACTTGTAGTTGGAGAAATCTAGATTTCAATTCAATTTTAAATGTGGTTTTCATATTCTTTTTCTCAAAAAATTACCTCGGAGTGTGCCCGCGAGGGTGGCACGGACATGTCGTTTCGCCCCGGAATTTTCGTGGTGGGGTCGTTTTCTGGTTTCTGGAAACAGGATACGATTGAATGGAGGAGATGGAAAGATTGAAAAACACAAAAAATTAACATAGAATTGAGAAAATGAGTAACATCATCTAAACTAGGAGACAATTAATTTTTGAAGTTAGAGTTGTGAGATTCAAGAGAAACAACTAGGAACAAGAAATCAAAAATTAGAAAAACATCAGAAGTGAACATGACAAGATACCTTAGAATGATGGTATACAAAATGTGAGAGGGGAGTTGAAGGGATAAAAATTCGAGAAAACAAATGAGTCACAAATTTCAAAAAATCTCTGTTGTCCGAAGGTGTGTCCCCTTCCGGAGAAAATCATCATCGAGTCGATCGATAGATGCTCAACTGCTCATAGGGTTGCGACCATCCCTGGGGTGTGCGGATGCTCTCCGCAGAGCACCCAGTCGACAGGTAGGCGGACGTATAACTGGTCTGAGTCTCCCGATCTTTCTCGATCTATCAACTCTCTAGCCGCTTCAGGCTGCGTACTATACGTGGTTGGGTAAACATTCGAAGAAGCCTGGCGCTGCCTCAGATTCCCGAATGACTAATGACTTCTTTTCATGGAAAGGTTTTTAAATTTCTAGAAGATTTGGTAACTGTTTTATAACTAGGGAATCATCGTTTCCAGCTGAGCATACAAAACCAAAAAGTAGTGGTCATCAGAATCTTTAGTTGGAGAATATGAAATCTTTCGGATAGATACTTCTAAATATTGTAAAATCTCAGTTCATGTAAAAGATACAAAAAAGTAGTAAACTGAAAAAAAAATGTTTTTGATATTTCAATTAACATTTGTCAGTTGACTACTTTTTGGTATTTGTTACAGGAATCAAGATATATGGGCTCAATGTGCATGTATTGGGTGGCCTTCTATTAGAGAGTTTACGGTAAGTTGGAATAAATAAATAACAAAAACAGAAAAGATGAGAAAATTCTTGTCACAAAATGTTATTCAGTTTTGGAAAAATTTCAAGGAAAGTGGTCCTATCAAAGTCTATTGCTGAACTTCTAGTAATATTTTATATATTAGAAAAAATAACTATGGACTTAGGACACTACCGTAATTTTTACTCTTTGCTTGCAAAACTAACCAAACCTATCTTACCAAAACTCGAACTCTGCATGGCAATACCTACTCTCTAGACAGCTCGGCTCCCTCGACTCTTGAGATCTATCACTTCCCACTTTTTACTTTTTTTGCCGATAATCTCAATTACCTTCTCCTCCCCCCACCCCTTGATAAATATCAGCGATCAAAATGAAACATGCTTGTGGGCGAAAAACGGTGTTCAACTTTCGTCATCAGCGCCTCAGGAAAAACGAAAACTTGCAGCCAACACAACACAAAAAGATAATCTGGACGCGGACGAAGACGCCCGGGGGAGGGAGTGCATTTGTATGCAGAACAAACTGACCGGCTCCGCGCGGCAAAACGAGAGAACCACTCACAGACAGTATGCTCGGGAAGAGATTTTTGTGCATGAGTTTACGGGGGTGCTCCTCCTCTCCACGCGCACGCGGCATGTTCTTGCTCGGCGGAGGAATGGAAGGGCCTGTTCGCTCATGTTGCGACTAATGCGTCTTAGACATACTCTTTTGTTGGGGTAAAAGGAATTGATTATATTTTGACAATGAGGGGGTTTAATCATAAAAGTTTCGAGAAGTTCAGAAATTCAGAAGAACTTACCGTAAACTCTAACAGAACTCCACCCTACCCTCAAACTGGTTTCCTGTGAAAAATATAAAAACTCGATTCCTGTGAAAAATATAAGAAAAGTACTCAACTGACAAAATGTTTTTGACATTATAATAAACATTTCATCAGTTGACCACCTTTCGATATCTTTTACAGTAACCAAGATAATTGAGCTCAAAGTGCAACTCCCGTACCTCCTGTACAAGTAGTTGACCACAATTTTTGGATACTGGGCGTCTAACCCGAAAACAAGGATAAATTTGAAAACCACTTAATTCGAAACAAATATACAATCTTTTAAGTATGCGAAATGGGAAAAAATGAAACAATCAAGGCAAATTAAAACCAGCTGAGAAGGAAATGATCATCGGAGAAAAACGGGATGGGGTGATTTTTTTTAAAGGAGCATAAGGCAACATTCATGGACACCGGTAGACATGGGCCATTGGGATTAGACAGAGAAATGGAATGGATAATATGGAATTGAACAACTCGTGGTATAAATATTACTGGGTTACAAAAGACACATAGAGACACAAAACTAGCGATGTTCTACACGTTTCGGACGGAAAAAACGGCAGGGTAAATGGTAGGAGAAACAATTATGAGCAATTTGATGATTGATGTAAAGAAATTATAGTAAAATCAAGAGATTACAAAGTATTCAAAAGACCTGAATTGGGGAAGAATGGGGTGATACATACTATAATAAAAATAGGTTAATTTCCGGAACACTTGACGCATTCAATACTGATTGGCAGAAGAGAGTCGTGGATTTGTGTGGCAACTTCTTGAGGACATGACTCCTCCGTCACCGGTTCCCGAGTCATTGAGCAAATCTTTGTGTTGTTCTCATACTTGGCCATTGTGCACTTCATGTCAGAGCACAGTTTGGCACAGTCTTGAACGTTCTCCGCTTTCTCGTGAACCTTCATGGTCGGCATTGTCCGTGTTGGTGTTACTGGACGAATATTGTAGGTGCAGGCTGAAATTCAGAGATGAAGATTCGATAAAAGAAGAATAAATTACATGTGCATCTAATGCAGGAAACCACAAATGGATGAAGGGCAGCATGCTGTGGAACAAAGTCGGCGAGATTTCCGCAGACGACGTCATCTGAAGTCAAGAGACAAACTCCTTGTGCGATGGTTCCAGATGGTGATGGGATGAAACCAGCAGTCTTGCAGTGTTCCTAAAATTTGCAGTTTTAGATGCATCCTATTCAATAGAACTATCTTACAGTCTCGAAACATTTTCTGGCACAATCAGCTGGGGAGGATGCCGGAACGTCATTGGTGATGTTCAATTTAGGGAGGCTTGCCACAGGAATGACTTGGAATTCAACTCTTCCGTCACACTTGGAACTCACTCCTGAAAGAAGAAAAGAGGGCTTTGAGTTAATCTGAAAATTAGGATACCTTGGTGAAGAGGGGCGTTCTCGGAGCTTGAAGATGGCTCATCAACTGAGAAAGAGGTGATGTCGTGTGCCTTCTTCTCATCGGCTGAAATGAAGAAGTTAAGAATTCCAAAAAAGATTTGGTATCTATAATGTCTAATGTAGTTATGGGATTTCTGATTTTACACAATTGTTTGAGTTTAAATAAAGTTGTTGCCTCTAAACAATTGGTGTGATATTGTTGAGTTTGGGAAAGCTAAACAATATCTAAACTAACAGTAAAAATATGTTGCATTTAGTTTGAAAGTTCTTGTAAAGTAAAGAATGATTTTCACATTGTTTAGGTTTATTTGGCTCTGCCAAAAATTCAATGTGTAGCGAGTTCAATTACCGTAAACCCTCTAATAGAAGGCTACCCAACCGGTATCCTATGAATCCATAAGTCTCGGTTTCTGTAAAAGATATCAAAAAGTGGTCAACTAACAAAATATTTTTGATATTGGCTTAAACTTCTGTCAGTGAACCACTTTTTGATATTTTGCAGAGAAAATGAGATATATAATCTCAAAGTTGACGGTTTTGGTGGCCATCTATTAGGGTTTATGGAATCCATGAATTGAAATCTCTAAGTCAGCTTCTAAGTTTAATTTTCTAGTTTTTTTTTAAACACTTAATGTTTAGAATAAGTTCTGTGAGTGCGATTTTACATATTTTGTATTTGTGAGACTTACGGATGAGGTGGATTATAAGACAATGTGTTGATTGAGTTGGTGACAAGAATTGGGTGATTTTCAGTTTTAAATGAAGGGTAATTGAGACGTTATTATTACACACTATTTGATTTGTGATTTGATTTGACACACGGTTGAAAGTAGTAAAGTGAATTATAGTACGGATCAGATTTTGTGCTTCACACAATGTTTACAAAGGTTTTTCGAAGTTTGGACTGGTTTGAAACCTACCACACGTCACGCAGTCAATTGCCACGACCTGGTTGATTTTGGTAAATGTCCAAGAGGTGGTTGGAACGACATCAGTACAATTAGTGTCCAGATGGGCGGTCTTTTGATCCGCATAGTGCATCAGACACACAGGACGTGGGAATCGAGTGAATGCTGCACGTAGACACGACGTCTCATAACACATACGAGCACAGTGCTCCAGAGAGAATGCGACGGCGTCACGTTCGAAGTGCTGACTCAGATCAATCATCTCAGTGGCGACAAAACGGACTCTGCCAGTGGTGCACTCTTCAAAATATTAGAAAAAGATACATGAAATGTTATGAAAAAGGACTTTTGAAACGAAGAGGGTTTTAATTTCTAATTAGGTTAAAAGTACGCGGACATACCATGTTTATTCTCAATTGCTTGAGGGAGTAGTCGTTGAATTGGACCTAGAATTTGTTGTGATTGGTTAGTTAAAAAGGTTTGTGATTGGTTGAATGTTTTGTTGGTTGGTTGGAAATAGTTAGTTCACTTACTGAGTTTTCTGTTGATCAAATCCTGAGCGGCTTGAGATGTTGGCTTACGTGGTCTACCTAGAACAAAATCGAGTCCTCCAGCTGCTAATGCATCAATTAAATCTTTCACAAGCTGAACTGGTGGTTCAGTTGTGGATCCCGAAACTTCCGTGATAGTGGTGGTTGGTTCAGCAGTGGAACTTTCTTTTCTAGAGACCTTATCCTCGTAGTCGCTTACTGTCGTCTCAGAATCGCTTTCCTCTTCCTCTTCTTCTTCATCTTTACTCTTTGGCTTTGGTTCAGAGGATGGCACGAATCCAACGTTATTTGGGAGATCTTCTCTGTGAGTATCACCGATCAAACTCTGCAAAAATTTCTATTCACTTAATAATTTTTTAACGAGTGTCACCTTGTTAAACATGCTCTCATCAATTCCCGTCAAGAAAGCACTCGTATCAGCACCCTCCTCTTCATCTTCTTCACTTCCCGATGACGTCTTTCCAGTGACGAATGATGGAGATTCGGTTGTGGATGCTTCTTCATCTTTAGATTCAGCTGCAGTCACTCCACTTCCTTCTACTTCCTCGGTGGTTGTGGAAGCTTCTTCTGTGGTTGACTCAGCAGACGAGGATGTCGTTGTTTCCTCTCCACTGAATTCAACTGTCGTCGATTCTGGTGTATTTAGTGCTCCCGAAGTAGTGGTTGACTCTTCTCCACTTGATTCTTGAGCGACTGGACTTGTGGTAGATTCTAATTCACCGCTAGATTCTGGCAATTTTGTTGTAGAAACGACACTCTCGTCAGATGAAACAGTGCTAACTTTTTCAGTCTCTTCAGAAGCTGTGGTGGATTCAAGAGTAGTGGTTTCCTCCACAGTAGTAGTAGTAGTTTCAATGGATGAGATTTCAGATGACACCGCGGTAGAATCGGTTGGAGCCCCTGTCACGAATGCTGGTTTGTTATCATCATCATCTTCTCCAGAGGCTTCTATAGTTGTTGATTCTCCTTCAACTGGTGCAACGGTGCTGCTAATTTTTTCATCTTCAGATTGAGCGAATTCTCCAGATGCTTCGGCAGAGTCGGTAAGATTCACACCGTCCTTAGCTGCAAGCTTGGCGAGATCAGCAGCAAATTGTTTTCCCAATTCTTTTGCCATCTTGATATTTTCGTCTTCCGCTCCAGTTACGTTAGTACTTTCGTCTGTCACTGAAGATGATGTGGCCGTAGATGGCTCTTCTGTTGATACACCTTCATCAGTTACGAATGAAGGCAAGTCTTCTTCTTCTTCTTTCTTTTCGGCGTCTTCTTTTTCAGCATTATGATCACCTATGATCTTCTTTTCCGCTTGTTTTTCAGTAGCAGCAGTGGTTGATTCGACAGAATCAGTTGCCAAATCAGTGGACGTAACAGATGGTTTTGGAGTGATTACAGGTATACTTGGATCGTGAGTTGTAGTTGTTCCTGACTCTTCAGAAGACGGAATTTCGATTTCTGATCCAGTCACAAAAGCTGGTCCTTCAGGAGTAGTCGACTCGGTTTCTGGAGAACTTGTTTCTGTTGTGTTGTTCACTTCTACAGAAACGTTAACGACTGTTTTGACTGTTGTAGCCTCTTCTCCAGATGCCTCGGTGACGGTAGCTTCAGTAGCAGCAGCAGTGGTGATTTCTTCACCAGATGCTTCGGTGACTTGGTCATCCTTGGGCAGTTCAGATGGGACAGAGGTGGATGATGCAGCTGGTTCTTCTCCAGATGCTTCGGTGACAGCGGCTTTAGCAGCGGCGGCAGTGGTAGCCTCTTCTCCAGATGCCTCGGTGACAACAGCTTCAGCAGCAGCAGCAGTAGTGGTAGCCTCTTCTCCAGATGCCTCGTTGGCGGTAGATTCAGTAGCAGCAGCAGTGGTGATTTCTTCCCCAGATGCTTCGGTGACTTGGTCATCCTTGGACAGTTCAGATGGGACAGATGTGGATGAGACAGCTGGTTCTTCTCCAGAAGCTTCAGTGACAGCTGTGGCAGACTCTTCTGCGGATGTCTCGGCGACGGCAGTTTCAGCAGCAGCGGCAGCAGTGGTGGCCTCTTCTCCAGAAGCTTCAGTGACAGCGGCGGCAGTAGTGGTAGCCTCTTCTCCAGAAGCCTCGGTGACGGCAGCTTCAGCTTCAGCTGCAACAGCAATGGTAGCCTCTTCTCCGGAAGCTTCAGTCACAGAGGCTTCAGTGGCGGCAGTAGTGGTAGACTCTTCTCCAGATGCCTCGGTCACTTGGTCATCCTTGGACAATTCAGATGGGACAGAGGTGGATGACACAGCTGGCTCTTCTCCAGAAGCTTCAGTGACAGCGGCGGCAGCTGTGGCAGACTCTTCTGCGGAAGTCTCGGCAACGGCAGTTTCAGCAGCAGCGGCAGCAGTGGTGGCCTCTTCTCCAGCAGCCTCGGTGACGGCAGCTTAGCAGCAGCGGCAGTAGTGGTATCCTCTTCTCCAGATGCCTCGGTGACAACAGCTTCAGTAGCAGCGGCCGCAGTGGTATCCTCTTCTCCAGATGCCTCGGTGACGGCAGCTTCAGTAGCAGCAGCAGTGGTGGTTTCTTCTCCAGATGCTTCGGTGACTTGGTCATCCTTGGACAGTTCAGATGGGACAGAGGTGGATGACACAGCTGGCTCTTCTCCAGAAGCTTCAGTGACAGCTGTGGCAGACTCTTCTGCGGAAGTCTCGGCGACGGCAGTTTCAGCAGCAGCGGCAGCAGTGGTGGCCTCTTCTCCAGATGCCTCGGTGACAACAGCTTCAGTAGCAGCGGCAGTAGTGGTATCCTCTTCTCCAGATGCCTCGGTGACGGCAGCTTCAGTAGCAGCAGCAGTGGTGGTTTCTTCTCCAGATGCTTCGGTGACTTGGTCATCCTTGGACAGTTCAGATGGGACAGAGGTGGATGACACAGCTGGCTCTTCTCCAGAAGCTTCAGTGACAGCTGTGGCAGACTCTTCTGCGGAAGTCTCGGCGACGGCAGTTTCAGCAGCAGCGGCAGCAGTGGTGGCCTCTTCTCCAGAAGCTTCAGTGACAGCGGCTTCAGTGGAGGCAGCAGTGGTAGACTCTTCTCCAGAAGCGTCGGTGACAACAGCTTCAGCAGCAGCGGCAGCAGTGGTAGCCTCTTCTCCGGAAGCTTCAGTCACAGCGGCTTCAGTGGAGGCAGCAGTGGTAGACTCTTCTCCAGAAGCGTCGGTGACAACAGCTTCAGCAGCAGCGGCAGTAGTGGTAGCCTCTTCTCCGGAAGCTTCAGTGACAGTGGTTCCAGCAGCAGTAGTGGTAGACTCTTCTCCAGATGCCTCGGTGACAACAGCTTCAGCAGCAGCGGCAGCAATGGTAGCCTCCTCTCCGGAAATTTCAGTCACAGCGGCTTCAGTAGCAGCAGTAGTGGTTTCTTCCCCGGATGCTTCGGTGACTTTTTCATCCTTGGACAGTTCAGATGGGACAGAGGTCGATGACACAGCAGGTTCTTCTCCAGAAGCTTCAGTGACAGCGGCGGCAGCAGTGGTAGCCTCTTCTCCAGAAGCCTCGGTGACGGCAGCTCCAGCAGAAGCGGCAGCAGTGGTAGCCTCTTCTCCAGATGCTTCAGCGACTGTGGCTTCAGTGGCGGCAGCAGTGGTAGACTCTTCTCCAGATGCTTCGGTCACTTGGTCATCCTTGGACAGTTCAGATGGGACAGATGTGGATGACACAGCTGGTTCCTTTTCAGAAGCTTCCGTGACAGCAGCTTCAGCAGCAGCAGTTGTAGCTTCTTCTCCAGATGCTTCGGCGACTTTGGCTTCAGCAGCGGCAGCAGTGGTGGTCTCTTCTCCAGAAGCCTCGATGACGGCAGTTTCAGCAGCAGCGGCAGCAGTGGTGGCCTCTTCTCCAGAAGCCTCGGTGACAGCGGCGGCAGTAGTGGTAGCCTCTTCTCCGGAAGCTTCAGTGACAGTGGTTCCAGCAGCAGTAGTGGTAGACTCTTCTCCAGATGCCTCGGTGACAACAGCTTCAGCAGCAGCGGCAGCAATGGTAGCCTCCTCTCCGGAAATTTCAGTCACAGCGGCTTCAGTAGCAGCAGCAGTGGTGGTTTCTTCCCCGGATGCTTCGGTGACTTTTTCATCCTTGGACAGTTCAGATGGGACAGAGGTCGATGACACAGCAGGTTCTTCTCCAGAAGCTTCAGTGACAGCGGCGGCAGCAGTGGTAGCCTCTTCTCCAGAAGCCTCGGTGACGGCAGCTTCAGCAGAAGCGGCAGCAGTGGTAGTCTCTTCTCCAGATGCTTCGGTAACAGCGGCTTCAGTGGCGGCAGCAGTGGTAGCCTCTTCTCCAGATGCTTCAGCGACTGTGGCTTCAGTGGCGGCAGCAGTGGTAGACTCTTCTCCAGATGCTTCGGTCACTTGGTCATCCTTGGACAGTTCAGATGGGACAGATGTGGATGACACAGCTGGTTCCTTTTCAGAAGCTTCCGTGACAGCAGCTTCAGCAGCAGCAGTTGTAGCTTCTTCTCCAGATGCTTCGGCGACTTTGGCTTCAGCAGCGGCAGCAGTGGTGGCCTCTTCTCCAGAAGCCTCGGTGACAGCGGCGGCAGTAGTGGTAGCCTCTTCTCCAGATGCTTCGGTAACAGCGGCTTCGGCAGCAGCGGCAGCAGTGGTGGCCTCTTCTCCAGATGCTTCGGTAACAGCGGCTTCAGCAACGGCAGCATTGGTAGCCTCTTCTCCAGATGCTTCGGTCACTTGGTCATCCTTGGACAGTTCAGATGGGACAGATGTGGATGACACAGCTGGTTCCTCTCCGGAAGCTTCCGTGACAGCAGCTTCAGTAGCAGCAGCAGTGGTAGCTTCTTCTCCAGATGCTTCGGCGTTTGTGGCTTCAGCGGCGATAGTAGTGGTGGACTCTTCTCCAGAAGCCTCGGTGACGGCAGCTTCAGCAGCAGCGGCAGTAGTGGTATCCTCTTCTCCGAAAGCTTCAGTCACATCGGCTTCTGTGGCGGCAGCAGTGATAGCCTCTTCTCCAGATGCCTCGGTCAGTTGGTCATCCTTGGACAGTTCAGATGGGACAGAGGTGGATGACACAGCAGGTTCTTCTCCAGAAGCTTCAGTGACAGCGGCGGCAGTGGTGGTAGCCTCTTCTCCAGATGCTTCAGCGACTGTGGCTTCAGTGGCGGCAGCATTGGTAGACCCTTCTCCAGATGCTTCGGCGACTGTGGCTTCAATGGCGGCTGCAGTGGTAGACTCTTCTCCAGATGCTTCAGCGACTGTGGCTTCAGTGGCGGCAGCAGTGGTAGTCTCTTCTCCAGAAGCTTCAGAAACAGCGGCTTCAGTGGCCGCAGCAGTAGTAGCTTCTTCTCCAGATGCCTCGGTGACAACAGCTTCAGCAGCAGCGGCAGCAATGGTAGCCTCTTCTCCGGAAGCTTCAGTGACAGTGGTTCCAGCAGCAGTAGTGGTAGACTCTTTTCCAGAAGCCTCGGTGACGGCAGCTTCAGCAGCAGCGGCAGCAGTGGTAGTCTCTTCTCCAGATGCTTCGGTAACAGCGGCTTCAGTGGCGGCAGCAGTGGTAGACTCTTCTCCAGATGCTTCGGCGACTGTGGCTTCAATGGCGGCAGCAGTGGTAGCCTCTTCTCCAGATGCCTCGGTCACTTGGTCATCCTTGGACAGTTCAGATGGGACAGAGTTGGATGACACAGCTGGTTCCATTTCAGAAGCTTCCGTGACAGCAGCTTCAGCAGCAGCAGTAGTTGTAGCTTCTTCTCCAGATGCTTCGGTGACTTTGGCTTCAGCAGCGGCAGCAGTGGTGGTCTCTTCTCCAGAAGCCTCGGTGACGGCAGCTTCAGCAGCAGTGGTAGCCTCTTCTCCGGAAGCTTCAGTCACAGCGGCTTCTGTGGCAGCAGCAGTGATAGCCTCTTCTCCAGATGCCTCGGTCAGTTGGTCATCCTTGGACAGTTCAGATGGGACAGAGGTGGATGACACAGCAGGTTCTTCTCCAGAAGCTTCAGTGACAGCGGCGGCAGTAGTGGTAGCCTCTTCTCCAGATGCTTCAGCGACTCTGGCTTCAGTGGCGGCAGCAGTGGTAGACCCTTCTCCAGATGCTTCGGCGACTGTGGCTTCAATGGCGGCTGCAGTGGTAGACTCTTCTCCAGATGCTTCAGTGACTGTAGCTTCAGTGGCGGCAGCAGTGGTAGTCTCTTCTCCAGAAGCTTCAGAAACAGCGGCTTCAGTGGCCGCTGCAGTAGTAGCTTCTTCTCCAGATGCCTCGGTGACAACAGCTTCAGCAGCAGCGGCAGCAATGGTAGCCTCTTCTCCGGAAGCTTTAGTGACAGTGGTTCCTGCGGCAGTAGTGGTAGACTCTTCTCCAGAAGCCTCGGTGACGGCAGCTTCAGCAGCAGCGGCAGCAGTGGTAGCCTCTTCTCCAGATGCCTCGGTGACGGCAGCTTCAGCAGCAGCGGCAGCAGTGGTAGTCTCTTCTCCAGATGCTTCGGCGACTGTGGCTTCAATGGCGGCAGCAGTGGTAGCCTCTTCTCCAGATGCCTCGGTCACTTGGTCATCCTTGGACAGTTCAGATGGGACAGGGGTGGATGTGGTAGACTCTTCTCCAGAAGCCTCGGTGACGGCAGCTTCAGCAGCAGCGGCAGCAGTGGTAGCCTCTTCTCCAGATGCCTCGGTGACGGCAGCTTCAGCAGCAGCGGCAGCAATGGTAGCCTCTTCTCCGGAAGCTTTAGTGACAGTGGTTCCTGCGGCAGTAGTGGTAGACTCTTCTCCAGAAGCCTCGGTGGAGGCAGCTTCAGCAGCAGCGGCAGCAGTGGTAGTCTCTTCTCCAGATGCTTCGGTAACAGCGGCTTCAGTGGCGGCAGCAGTGGTAGACTCTTCTCCAGATGCCTCGGTCACTTGGTCATCCTTGGACAGTTCAGATGGGACAGGGGTGGATGACACAGCTGGTTCTTCTCCAGAAGCTTCAGTGACAGCAACGGCAGCAGTGGTAGCCTCTTCTCCGGAAGCTTCAGTGACTGTGGTTCTAGCAGCAGTAGTGGTAGACTCTTCTCCAGAAGCCTCGGTGACGGCAGCTTCAGCAGCAGCGGCAGCAGAGGTAGTCTCTTCTCCAGATGCTTCGGTAACAGCGGCTTCAGTGGCGGCAGCAGTGGTAGACTCTTCTCCAGATGCTTCGGCGACTGTGGCTTCAGTGGCGGCAGCAGTGGTAGCCTCTTCTCCAGATGCCTCGGCCACTTGGTCATCCTTGGACAGTTCAGATGGGACAGAGGTGGATGACACAGCTGGTTCTTCTCCAGAAGCTTCAGTGACAGCGGCGGCAGTAGTGGTAGCCTCTTCTCCGGAAGCTTCAGTGACTGTGGTTCTAGCAGCAGTAGTGGTAGACTCTTCTCCAGAAGCCTCGGTGACGGCAGCTTCAGCAGCAGCGGCAGCAGTGGTAGCCTCTCCTCTAGATGCCTCGGTCACTTGGTCATCCTTGGATAGTTCAGATGGGACAGGGGTGGATGACACAGCTGGTTCTTCTCCAGAAGCTTCAGTGACAGTGGCGGCAGTAGTGGTAGCCTCTTCTCCGGAAGCTTCAGTGACAGTGGTTCCAGCAGCAGTAGTGGTAGACTCTTCTCCAGAAGCCTCGGTGGAGGCAGCTTCAGCAGCAGCGGCAGCAGTGGTAGTCTCTTCTCCAGATGCTTCGGTAACAGCGGCTTCAGTGGCGGCAGCAGTGGTAGACTCTTCTCCAGATGCTTCGGCGACTGTGGCTTCAGTGGCGGCAGCAGTGGTAGCCTCTTCTCCAGATGCCTCGGTCACTTGGTCATCCTTGGACAGTTCAGATGGGACAGAGGTGGATGACACAGCTGGTTCTTCTCCAGAAGCTTCAGTGACAGCGGCGGCAGTAGTGGTAGCCTCTTCTCCGGAAGCTTCAGTGACAGTAGTTCCAGCAGCAGTAGTGGTAGACTCTTCTCCAGAAGCCTCGGTGACGGCAGCTTCAGCAGCAGCGGCAGCAGTGGTAGTCTCTTCTCCAGATGCTTCGGTAACAGCGGCTTCAGTGGCGGCAGCAGTGGTAGACTCTTCTCCAGATGCTTCGGCGACTGTGGCTTCAGTGGCGGCAGCAGTGGTAGCCTCTTCTCCAGATGCCTCGGTCACTTGGTCATCCTTGGATAGTTCAGATGGGACAGGGGTGGATGACACAGCTGGTTCTTCTCCAGAAGCTTCAGTGACAGCGGCGGCAGTAGTGGTAGCCTCTTCTCCGGAAGCTTCAGTGACAGTGGTTCCAGCAGCAGTAGTGGTAGACTCTTCTCCAGAAGCCTCGGTGACGGCAGCTTCAGCAGCAGCGGCAGCAGTGGTAGTCTCTTCTCCAGATGCTTCGGTAACAGCGGCTTCAGTGGCGGCAGCAGTGGTAGACTCTTCTCCAGATGCCTCGGTCACTTGGTCATCCTTGGACAGTTCAGATGGGACAGGGGTGGATGACACAGCTGGTTCTTCTCCAGAAGCTTCAGTGACAGCAACGGCAGCAGTGGTAGACTCTTCTCCAGAAGCCTCGGTGACGGCAGCTTCAGCAGCAGCGGCAGCAGAGGTAGTCTCTTCTCCAGATGCTTCGGTAACAGCGGTTTCAGTGGCGGCAGCAGTGGTAGACTCTTCTCCAGATGCTTCGGCGACTGTGGCTTCAGTGGCGGCAGCAGTGGTAGCCTCTTCTCCAGATGCCTCGGTCACTTGGTCATCCTTGGATAGTTCAGATGGGACAGGGGTGGATGACACAGCTGGTTCTTCTCCAGAAGCTTCAGTGACAGCGGCGGCAGTAGTGGTAGCCTCTTCTCCGGAAGCTTCAGTGACGTGGTTCCAGCAGCAGTAGTGGTAGACTCTTCTCCAGAAGCCTCGGTGACGGCAGCTTCAGCAGCAGCGGCAGCAGTGGTAGTCTCTTCTCCAGATGCTTCGGTAACAGCGGCTTCAGTGGCGGCAGCAGTGGTAGCCTCTTCTCCAGATGCCTCGGTCACTTGGTCATCCTTGGACAGTTCAGATGGGACAGAGGTGGATGACACAGCTGGTTCTTCTCCAGAAGCTTTAGTGACAGCGGCGGCAGTAGTGGTAGCCTCTTCTCCGGAAGCTTCAGTGACAGTGGTTCCAGCAGCAGTAGTGGTAGACTCTTCTCCAGAAGCCTCGGTGACGGCAGCTTCAGCAGCAGCGACAGCAGTGGTAGTCTCTTCTCCAGATGCTTCGGTAACAGCGGCTTCAGTGGCGGCAGCAGTGGTAGACTCTTCTCCAGATGCTTCGGCGACTGTGGCTTCAATGGCGGCAGCAGTGGTAGCCTCTTCTCCAGATGCCTCGGTCACTTGGTCATCCTTGGATAGTTCAGATGGGACAGGGGTGGATGACACAGCTGGTTCTTCTCCAGAAGCTTTAGTGACAGCGGCGGCAGTAGTGGTAGCCTCTTCTCCGGAAGCTTCAGTGACAGTGGTTCCAGCAGCAGTAGTGGTAGACTCTTCTCCAGAAGCCTCGGTGACGGCAGCTTCAGCAGCAGCGACAGCAGTGGTAGTCTCTTCTCCAGATGCTTCGGTAACAGCGGCTTCAGTGGCGGCAGCAGTGGTAGACTCTTCTCCAGATGCTTCGGCGACTGTGGCTTCAATGGCGGCAGCAGTGGTAGCCTCTTCTCCAGATGCCTCGGTCACTTGGTCATCCTTGGATAGTTCAGATGGGACAGGGGTGGATGACACAGCTGGTTCTTCTCCAGAAGCTTCAGTGACAGCGGCGGCAGTAGTGGTAGCCTCTTCTCCGGAAGCTTCAGTGACAGTGGTTCCAGCAGCAGTAGTGGTAGACTCTTCTCCAGAAGCCTCGGTGACGGCAGCTTCAGCAGCAGCGGCAGCAGTGGTAGTCTCTTCTCCAGATGCTTCGGTAACAGCGGCTTCAGTGGCGGCAGCAGTGGTAGACTCTTCTCCAGATGCTTCGGCGACTGTGGCTTCAGTGGCGGCAGCAGTGGTAGCCTCTTCTCCAGATGCCTCGGTCACTTGGTCATCCTTGGATAGTTCAGATGGGACAGGGGTGGATGACACAGCTTGTTCTTCTCCAGAAGCTTCAGTGACAGCGGCGGCAGTAGTGGTAGCCTCTTCTCCGGAAGGTTCAGTGACAGTGGTTCCAGCAGCAGTAGTGGTAGACTCTTCTCCAGAAGCTTCCGTGACAGCAGCTTCAGTAGCAGCAGCAGTGGTAGCTTCTTTTCCAGATGCTTCGGCGACTGTGACTTCAGCGGAGGCAGCAGTGGTAGTCTCTTCTCCTGAAGCTTCGGTGATAGTGGCTTCAGCAGCAGTGGCGGTAGTGGTAGCCTCCTCTTCAGAAGCTTCGGTCACTCCTACAGTCGTTGAATCATCCGAGCTTGCTGGCGTCGTTTCAGGTGTTTCTTCCCCGGATGCTTCTGTCACATTTGGTGTTTCCGTGACGTCCTCGTCAGTGTTCTCGGCTAATTTCGCGCTTTTTAGTGGAACTGTAATATTTGAAATGTGTTTTGTGAGAGTAATGAAATCGCTCACCACAAGACAAACAATGAATCCACACAGTTTTCTCTGATCTGTCAACATTCACAAGTCGTCCATTGCCACAGAATGGTTTATCTTCGTAAGCAAGGGAGCATTGATGAGTTTCTGGATTGTATCTTGCAGCTGTGCAACCATCCTGAATATTTAGTTCTTTTGATGCAAAACGAGTGTTTATTACCTGGTAACAGCGATGTGCACAAATCTCAGGTGTTGAAACATTCAGATTCATCTCAAATGGAGCTGTGAATTCTGGGTTTCTTTCTTCAATAGGCTGTGATTGGAAGTGAACGATACATCCTTTCAGAAGACTATCATCATCGGCTTCCTGACCGATTGTCTTGAGTGTTGTGCTTGTTTCTGAGGATGATGGGGTGGTTGTGGTTTCCTTGGATTCTTCTCCATTTTGAGTGGCTTCTGTTTCTCCCCATGGATTGGTCACTGGTGCAGTTTCAGTTGTTGTGATCTCATTGTCTTCGTTTACTTTGCTGGGAACCTTTGGTAGGTCAGCAGTGGCAGTAGGCTTGATGGCATCTAAAAACGAATAACTTCAAAAAAAGGCGTAAAAAGGGATAACTTACAGCAATTAACACAATGAATCCATGTTACTTCCTTAGCCATGTACTGTAAGAAGACGTCTCCTCTGGCACAGTAATGTTTTTCATCATAAGATAGACTACATGTGCTCCAGACTGGATCGAATCTAGCACCAGAGCATCCATCTTGGTAACAACGTGTCGCACACACTTCAACGGAATCCACCTTGATTTCTGTTTCGAATTTAGCTGAGAATTGCATTGGTCTTTCGGAAAGTGGTCTTGCTTGGAACTTGATTAGACAGCCTCTTTGGAAGTCGGCGTCGTTTGATCCTTCTGATGGTTTAATTGTAGCAGTAGCGATAGACGCCGTGGTTTCTTCTGATACTGATGGTTCAGAAGATGTCGATGGAGCTTTCTCAGATGATGTTGTGGTCTCTACTGCTGTGGTGGTAGAATCATCGGAGGGAGTAGCTGAAGTAGAAGTCGGGGTAAATCCTGATTCTTTAGATGGTGCAGATGTGGTTCCAGTGCGAGCCTCATCAATGTCGCTCTGCTTGACCGTGTCTAGAAATGTTCAAAATTCAAAAACCGTTGTAGAAACAAAAAACTCACAGCAATTGACACAATGCAACCAGGTGGCTTCCTTGGCTTCGTAGTGGATGAAAACGTTTCCACGAGCGCAGAATTGTGGGTCATCGTAGGAAAGTGTGCAGGATCTGTCAGCCGGGTCGAATCGAGCCCCAGAGCAGCCATCCTAATAAAAAAAGAATTATGAAGGTTTTTTAAAAGAAACTTACTTGATAGCATCTAGTGGCGCAAAGCTCAATAGAGTCCACTGGCACATTCAACTCGAATTTGGCTTTCAAATTCTCAGGACGATCAGATAGAGGTCTCGCTTGGAACTTGATGACGCAGTCTGAAACAGAAATCAATTAATTTTCTAAATTTCCAATAGAATGTTCATTTCAAAACATCACACTGCTTCTCAAACATGCCATTTCCCATGCACTTACGTTTTCGCAATGTTGTCTTGACTCCAGCAGTATCCTTTGCCATTTCTACTTTCGTAGCAATAGCTGGTTCTGGATCATTCGACTCGGATATCGTAGTTGATTCGACTTCAGATGTTAGTTGGGAAGTTGTGGTGGATTTTGAAGTGGACGATGTCTCAACTTGGGTAGTAGTCTCTTCTGGCTTTTTAGTTGTCGTCTCATCAACTGTTGGTTGAGTGGTAACTTGTCCCTCTTCTTGGAAAGATATTGTAGTTTTGGCACTTGGTGGAATCTTTCTTGAACCTGAATCAGAAGAAGTGCAAGCATCTGACTAATTCACGGTTAGAGTTTGAATTCTATGAGATCATTCTGAATGCGGAATCATAGTCATATCAAAAATAATCTAGAAACCGAGTAACCAAAAAAATCAACTAACTGCAACGGAAGCACTGCAATACAACGTCGTTAGTTCCCTGATAGGAGAACTTATTCTCCGACTCTGTGCATTTTTCTCTTCTATCCCTTCCCAGTCGACATTCTCCTGTGGAAGGAGAGTAAACGGCCACCGTGCACAATCCAACGAAACAGAAGCGCGCACAAGCATTCGCGCTGAAAAGTCAAATGAGGAGAGATGCACAAAACCAAGGCAGGGACAACCGATTGTGCCACAACAGAATGTCATGCTTACCTTTTAGCGGGTTTAACGGTATAGTGATCAAAGTTCGGTTGTGTCGAAACATCCTCCACTTGGAAATTAATATAGCATGCTGCAACCAAACATAAGAAAATCAAAATGTAACTCATAAGATATATTCAAATTATATAATCATATATTATGTGCATGCGGCAGTCATTCAGATAAAATGATCTCATCACCAGCCCTATGCTCTAGCATCTAAAACCGTTGAGAAACTGAAATAAACTATAAAGCAGAAAGCGGATTCACCTGGATAGTAGTTACCTTTGCGGTCTTCTTGAGCAGTTTGAGTTGAGGCAATGAGTTCAGTTCCTGGGCCAGATGGAGAAGATGATGTCGTGGATTCTGAGGCTGGAATTCAAAGCTAAGTATTCTGATTTGAAAATACAGTATACCTATTCTTACACAAATCTTATCTTTCTTCTTTTTTAAATAACTTTCTTCTATCTTTCAGAAAAATTTGGACATTCTATTAACAGGTCTCTCAATGAATGCGAGTACTCATTCGTCTGTTAGGCGTCGTGCAAAGTGCTCAGAAACGTTGCGTGAAGTGAGAAACTGTGCTAATTAGTTGATCTACTCATCAATTCACACCTTTTTCCATACAGTACGGGCATGTTATCTGCACAGGAACACTGGATTTCTCAACTGTATCTACCATCTTATCCTGATTTCGTTCCTCCTCGCAGTGCTCCTTATCCACCAAATCATCAGTTGCCACGGTGAATTGACAAGATCCATCATCTGGCTTGTACAATGCAAACTAAAATTTGATCTACTTGATCTGGAATCTCTATAACACATACTCCACACTGATACGAATAACACAGATGAGCACACTCTTCGGCGGATTCTACTTTTGTTTGATTGATCAGCAAATCAACAGTTTCCCAATCGATATGACTGCTAATCAAGAATCTGAGATGAGTATCGCATTGTCTCTGTTCAACCGATCCCGTCCATGTTGTTGGTTCTTAAAGAAAGCCACACCTAGAAATACTGGACAAAAAAGCCATGCAAGGAAAAAATTAGGAGCGAGACATGAAAAGGTCAGTGACCCCATGTAGGAAAATGTCCTTTTTGAAAAAAGAATGAGACAAGTACATTTGTGTCACACCTAATTGTACTCCGGTTGACAGCTAAATTGAGAATGTTCCAAGCTCTCCTCAGTTCTTTTTTTCTGCCCTCGCCATCTCAAAAATCACTCACCGACAGTGGTGGTGTCTTCAACGTGAAGGTCAACAATTGCCGTCGAGTGTCCACTTGGCGTCGTGGTTGTAGATTCTGAATAGGTTCCAGGAATTTCAAAAATTTCAATCATGTCATGTTTTGCATTTTTCAAAACAATGCTAACCTAGTTTCGAGTCAATATTGTGTGTGATCTCCTCGACGAGTGGCTTCTCGATCAGTTTTTCTCCACTATGTCCGGTTGCAGTGATGGTTTGCTCGGTGAAACTGGTGAAGGGCGGTGCGGTTACTGTAATTAGACTGTTTTGAATGAATTCCAATTGTATTTCAAAACACGATGCATCATCGTTCTGTCCTCTTTATTTTATGATAGCTTCATAAAAACGGAATTCAGAAGAAAGGAACACACAAGTGGTAAAAGTGTACATGTCATTTCTTAAGAGAGAAGACAACAAAAATAAAATGAGTCATGTAGTGGAATGCAATGATTTCATAGTTTTTAAGAAACTTGATTTCGTTTTTTAATGAATTTTTTTGAAAATTAAAACATACCAAAGTCTCCATTTGATGGACAACGAAGGCAATCAATGGTAACGGCTTCTCCATTGTAGACGATGCTTTTTGCTTGGACAAGGGCTTGGCCTGAAATTTTGAGATCAGAAAAATAGTCCCTTAAAAAGTTTAGGAATAAACGAACCTGTACAATTGTAAGCAGCGAAGTAGAACAATGAGCATGAGTCTGTCTTGGATTGATCGTATCTCAATGAGTAACAGAACTGATTTCCAAAACATTTTTTGATACAATCATGGATGGTTGGCGTTTTGATTTCAACGAATATATATGGTGACCTATCAGCAGTGGTTTCATTGACGTATACATAGATATTGTCGGCACATGCTGAAAAAAGTTTTTCATAAGTCCAGCTGTTCGTAAGCTTGTGTCTTGATCACATCTGAAGACATTTGATTTAAAAAATTATCATCCCTTTTTGGAAACCAGTAAATCTAACTGAAATCCAATCTTGCATACTGTTTCGTTTTGAGATTTTCGAACTATCGTAAACCCTGTCTTCTATTAGAGGGGCCCTTTCGTTGAAAAGACCCTTCTAATACAGGTTTTACGGTAGTTCACGGTAGAAAAACAGTGTTCATGAGATAAAAAATAATACTGTAAATGCCCTAATAGAAGCATGCCCTATACGAGCACTTTGAGCTCAATTATCTTGTTTTCTATGAGAGATATGAAAAATCTGTCAACTGATAAAATATTTGTGATTTTTTGATAAATAATTTATCAGTTAAAAATGTTTTGCTATCTTTTGAAGGAACCAATATATTTCAGCTGAAAGGGCAAGTATAGTGGACTTCTATTAGAAAAAGTACGATGTGCCGAGATCCCAATTTTTTCGGTTTAAAATTTTCAGACATTCCAAAAAAACCTTGTTATCCCTCCTTCTCCTTTTTTTCACTACTAGTTTATTTTTCTGTTCTCCCAAATCCTTTTCAAAATCCAGACACAGTGTTCGCCTTCCAAAATAAAGGCCATGGTCAAATTCCTTTGATGCAAAGAGAGCTTATTAGTCTCTTCTCTTGCGAAGATGTTGATATTTTATCCCAATTTTATTCCCTTTTTTTCTTCTCCTTCCCACGCTTATGGTTTTTGTCTTTGTCTTCTTCTTTGTCTTCTTCATTTCAATGCCGAACCAATTTAGGGATTATGCTAAACTACTACACAACTACTATCTCTACTTGTTGCCTTGCCAAACAACCTCGACACGAATTACCACCCCCAGTATCTTCTGATATGTATCTTTATATCTGTTTACAACTATTTATCAAAAATTCGCTATTTTCCCCGAAGAAACTAGCATCGATATATCATTTTGTCATCTGTATGCGCGGTACGAAAAGACTCTTCAAAAATGGCATTGAAAAAAACGAAGAGATGCGAACTGATAACAATCTACACCCCTAAAAGGCGGTCTGAAGCATCTTTTGTCTTATTTGGCTTCTTGTGGCTGTTTCCTAATTTTTTAGTCTGTGTAAATGTTCGAATGGTAATCCAATTCCTCGTGTTGCGTATAGGGTCTCTGGGTCTAAAAAACGACCTTCACCGTCTATGGAAAAGGTGAGGTTCGGACAAATGAGGCGTGTGGATCGGCTGGTGGTGGACAAAGAGGAAAAAAGAACACACATTGAGTCGCTGGCACAATTTTTTGGAGATTTGAATACGAAGAAGGAGAAGAAACATCAGAGAAAACAGTCGACCTAGTATAGAAATATGCACAAACTGATGGAATTGCGTTGACACAGAAATCAGTATTGGGTTACTGGTTCCAAAAGGGAAATTTCGTTTTTTTTCGAATTTCGGAAGATTCGGTTGTTACCGTATTCAATGGATTGCGACATGATTCTAGACGACCTGCTAAGCAAAATTTTTTCCAATATGGTACTATTTTCAGAGCCCGAACAAGGAAGAAGTTATATGTATCAAACTACCGTAAATCCTGTGATAAAAGGTCCTCAATACCGTCAATTTTGAGCTCAATTAACCAGGCTCCTATTACAGACATAGGAGCCCGTCAACTGATAAAATGCTTGTGATATTATGATAAACAATTCATCAGTTGACAGATTATTTATATCTTTATCAGGAATAGAGATAAATTGTCCCAAAGTTGAAAGTTAGGGAATCCCACTTGGGTTCAAGCCAATGGGTCAGAAATCGCGCCCCAGTAAACGTGAGATTTTAGAAAAAATTCGCTTCTGACATATGTGGCTGAGGATCAAACTTTTAAACGTTGGGCGAAAAAATTACGCGTTGCAACTCGTTGATTTAAATTAATTAGGTCAAATCCACGTCCACTTTGAAATTATTAAATTTCTTCTGGCCTAAAAGTTACTTCGGTGCGTTTTTGAACCCGTTGACTTGAACCCAAGTGGGATCTTTCTATTATAGGTTTTACGGTATCCCAATCCCTCGTTCAATTTAAACGCTCCAGGCTGTTCTCACCGTAACGTTCAGAAAATAAATAACCGTTCAGGAAATTAACCTGAATTCTGAGTACTGAATTCCTTCATCTATGACCACGAAGCGATATAAAACACGACATGAATCACTAATTATAAAGTTTTGGACGAGTGAGTTTTCTAGGCGTCAGGAATTCGGAACTCGAGCAAATATTTACCTCATTCCACACAAATTCTCATTCCATTTTTTTGTATACTTCTCCCCGGAAGTGATGGTTCGACCTTGTAATGACACTGGTGTGACCAGCAAAAAACCTTGAATCCTTTTCTACTAATAAATTGTCGTTTTTCTTCCTTTTCTAGCGAAGATGAAAGTTTTGTCGCGGGTGGTTTATTTAACTCTAGGTATGTGATAAAAAACAGTGAAGGAGGAAGATTCAGATGAGTCATTTTTTAAAGAAGACGGTAATTCGGAGAAAACTGGAAAACTTGAATGTGATGAATGAAAAATTTCTGAAAATTCTCTAAAGGATCAAGATACTGAAACTCAAATCTCTCTTAAACACTCTAATAGAAGGCCACCCTATACTTGCTCTTTGAGTTTATATATCTCGGTTCCTGTTAAAGATGTCAAAAAGAGTTCAACTGATAAAATATAGGTGACATTATGGTAAATATTTTATTAATGGACAACTTTCTGATATCTCTTACAGAAAACAAGATAAATTAGCTCAAAGTTCGAGTGTTATCTTCTACATATTTGACGGTATATTCAAAGTATTCCAATACAAAAAGCACGAAAATTAAACTTTGCTCCTTCTTTTCTAATTTTATCTCAGAAAATAATCAGAAAAAAATCAGATTTGTTGTTCTACCGTACGTTCTGAAAACAACCTATTGTTACAAAAACAATGTCCTATCTAGATCAGATCAATTTCTTTTTTTTTGTTATTGTTCTAAAATTAATGATGGCAAAAGTTGTTTCGTTTCTTCGTGTTCACTTTGAATTTTGTCAAGATCTTGACTCATTTGTCCTCGAAATTTCCCTTATTTCATTCATTCAATTTTCGCAAAAATTCTTACAAAACGATTGTTTGTCAATAACTTCCAAAAAAGGCAAGAAGGCATGTAGTAGCCCTTTTTTCTTCATTTATTTCTCTTCCCACCACCAGGAGACATACTTGTCATCTCGACCATAAAACATAGTGTACAAAATTAAGACCCCCCAGACATTGGAATTTTTCACAACACGGAAAAAACGGTCGTGTCTCCTAGGGGGGTACATGCCATCATCTCATCTTCTCTCCAATTTCCGAGAGTGAACAAAATGGTGATTGATAGGTGAATTATATGTAATTGAGTTGAGAAAATAAAGTAGCAGCATTAGCAGACGAAGAACAGAAAAGGAAATACTTACTTATCGTTTGTGGCAAATTCAGTGGTTTTGCATCGGAGAATTGAGTGGTTGATAGGAGGATTAATGTGATTGCTGATATGAGAAATTGTGAAGTTGCATGGCTCGAGGAGTGCCACCTCGGCTTCATTGTTTGAAAACTGTTTGTGCTTTCCTCCGATCTAGAAAATATTAAGACCTTAGATTTTTTGAATCTAGAAATGCAATTCGTAACAATTTTTACAAAATTTGGGCTTAGGGTATTTAGATTCTCAGATGAAGAACAGAAAACTCTAGATTCCAAAGTCATGGGTTTGATATAAAGGATGGCTTTTCTGGATATCGGATATTTGAATTCAAAGATAAATTTCTAGAGCAATGCTCAAAGGAATTATTAAATTGAAAACTTGCGGGTTGAAAGTTACGACCAGAAGCCACTGTATTACTTTGGTCCTTCAAAAACTTTGCTCAATTTATCTGAGAGGTCTGGTAACCCATTTCTGCAAAAGTCAGATCCTCCAAACAACCTATAAATTCTTTATCTTCAAATCTTTTTCAACTTCCTCGTCCCTAAAATTTTGCAACAACCGAATCTTCACAAAAAATAGGGGATCCGCTCCAAATCAACCAGGTCATCTTTTTGCCCTTGGAATACCCCATACTACCAGAAAACCAACCTTCTTAGTGTCTTAGGTCCGAATTATGTGATGCGGGCGCAAAAACACTGGTCTTCTCCTTCGATCAGTGTGCCTTCTCACACCGAAATATTCGAATCGTGGAGGGGGCGTCCAAGCACTCCCTTTGTTGAGTTTGAACTGAAAATAGTTGTTCAAGATGGGCGGTTCTCTGTTGGGTCAAAGCTCATTTTAAGACAAAATACAAAAATAACAATGAAAATTTATAGTAATGGGAGTAGGAAAGGGAGATTGTAAAAAGAAGAACATGTTGTTAGGTATTTGTAAAGGATATAAAAATAGAACTTGATTATTGCCAGAGATAAAACTTTCAGCACTCGTGGTCAAGAAAACTCAAAAGAGGAAGTTGGCAGAAAAACAATGTTTTGAGAGGAGAAAAACGACAAAGTCAAGAAGGTCAAGAATATATGAGGTGTGGTGATAAAACCGGTTTGGATTGAAAAGAGATTTAGAGGAAGGTGGCAGCTTCAAAAAGAGATATAGAGAATTCTCGAACATTTAAAAGAGTTAAGGTTAAAAGATACAATTCTTCATGATCCTCATCATCATCATCCCCAACAGAACCTAATTCTACTCTAATCGGCGGCACACGACGAGGACACGCTAAATGGTGTGAATCGGTTGGTGGAGGTGCCAGGGCCAAAAGGAAAATGAGAAAAGGTGGGAGGAGAAGAACAAGAAGAAACAAAAATGAAAGAAAAGATTACTGTAGAGAGGAAAAGGGTATTTCGAAAAGCAGCAGCAAAAAAACGATCTTTACAGACTTCTAAGCAGTAGAAGTCACTGAAAAGATGACGGACGATGAACACAGACACTTGGTGTCAGAATGAGTGAAAAGACCCCGACAGGAATGAGGAGAGAGTTTTTTTGGACAGTTTCGTTTTGTTTCCTTAAACCGAAATTGGCTAAACTACTGGTAAGGGAGACTAGTCAGAGAAGGGTCATCAGCCTATTTTCGTGAAGTGATGATGGGTCAGTATAACGGAAAGTATTAGTTTCTAGTTATCAGACGCAATTAAACTGTCCAAAATGGGTCTGTATGTGTACTTTGGAGCTAATAAATCCAAACAAAAATGAGCATGAACTAAAGAAATGTCCTTTGAAGAATTTTCTGCAATTTCAAATTCATCGTAATTTTTCTCTCATGAAGTTCAGAGTGTCGAACCCTGGTTACTGTAGTCCCCAAAACTTAAAAAAAGATTGACAGACTAAACTGTAAGTCATAAGAACTGTTACGAGTAGCAGCGACCACGGGTGGTTGTGTCTTTTTATTACAATAACTTTGAATAAGAGAAACAGTTTTTGATAAACCCACTTGTTTTACACTTTCAGATTTCTCTTTCCAAGGCCTCTTCTCCCTCTGCGCAAGTACCCATCTCACTATGAAAAACTAGAAACTGATTGTTTCAAAAAAAAAGGAACAAAAACGATATTGGCCCTGGGGGTCGTCGCATCTTCAGACGGCAGAAGCGTAGAAAAAAAAGAACGGTGGTCTTCTCCTGTGTTTCATCATCGTCGACGTCTTCTTCTTCTCCTAATTTTCTCTTCCCATGCAACAGATCTGAACGAAATGATTACGATGCTTCGAGATGGTACCGGTGGCGGACGCGGGGGACAAAAAACGGTGCGTGCGAGATTTGGCAAAACCCCCAGGTTGTGGGGGGAGAAAAGAACGAAAAAAACTCGATTAGGAACAAGAAAAAGGGAAGAAAAAATGAGAAGATGATGAGGGTAACAGGAAAGGGTTCGTTGAAAATGGAAACGGAGAGAGAGAGAGAAAAAGGGAATACAACATATCAGTGACGATATATTTTAAGAGAATGCCACCCTATGAAAAAATTTGAACAAATAGGTGTGGAGAAGATAAGAGAAGATAGTGAAGAAGGCAGAAAGAGGGAATTCGAGAGTATAAAGATGAGTTTTGAAGGTTGAGAAGGGGCGGAGCTTAATACTTCAAACTCAAAAATAGAGATAACGATCATAATTTTTGAGACAAAGGCTGTTGAATAATTGTTTGATGCTCATTGTGCCAGGTAATACAGTACCGGTCAATAAGATAGACAAAAAAGTGTTTTAAATAGATTTCCGGCCATTTTCCGAAGTCTGGAGCTCGGCTGTCCAATTTCGGATCACTTTGAAAGTTTTTAAGGGTTAAACCACACCTATAGATTGAAACTTTGCATTCACACATTTTTTTTTTGAAAACCCCTAGGTTTTCAGCAATATGCCCATTTCAGAAAAACACCCCTATCTGAACCGTTTTGTACTGAAAATGTGAAAAAAAACCGGTGGTTTTCAGAAATCAGCAAACACGATATTTTCGAAAAATTCTGTGAATGCAAAGTTCTCAAATTAGGGCTATTTTACACCCTCTAAAATTTTTTAAGTGATCGGACACTTGACAGCCGAGCTCCAGACTCCTGAAAATGGATCAAAATGACTGAAAATCAATTGAAAATTACGCTTTGGTATATATTATTGACCGGCTAGATGTCCAGATACCCTAATAGGCCAAGAAGGTTAAAAAGGTTATCGCTTTAACGAGCCAAAAATCAAAGTCCCAAACCAATGATACGGAAGTTCTCTAGCTGTGAAAAAACGAAGATTCCTAACGTTCAAACCAAGAAGCCACACGAATACATCAGGTACTGACCATTGGCAGGAATCTGGAGAGTCAATAGAGTGACTAAACAAACTCTCCTAGAAATATCCAGTCTGATCATGGTTGATCTCATCTCTTTGGATGTTCGCTCAACAGTATCGAACACAGAATAAAGCTTATGCAACTACCACTACTGCGTCACCAACTCTTCTGTGGATGATGATGATGTAAGCCTTTCCTTCCGATAACAAGGTCGAAAAGCGTCTGAAGCATCTGAAGTCAAGTTGTTGTATAATCCCTGCCATCTCGAAGTTTTTTTTTGTGTTGTTAGAGGCGGTAGAGTGCCATTCGGTTTCGTTTCAAGTGGCCTACGTATGGGCTGAAATTTCAAAGACACGAAGACTAAAAAAAATGAAAAATGAATGAATCAAAAAGATGGTGTTGGCAGCCAAAATGACACGAGAGGTTGAATGCAGAAGAAAAAGAAGACGAAATTAGCAGGAGAACAGAGTAACGAGGGGGGTGGGGTGAATCTGAAGGGGGTGAACTAGTGAAATTGGGATGCTGGACGTGGATGGTTCAGTTTAAATCATGTTACTATTCGATATCTTGCCCTAAAATCTTGAAATCTCATACTTTCTTTTCTCTATTCGTTTTCGGTCATATCCGATGGCAGAAAAAGGGTACAGTTTCTTGTATGTGTGTTCTGAATGTACTGAATGGGTCGGTGGAGAAGGAAATGGGTTTTTCAGACGACCTAATTTGGAACATGGGCTGCAGTTGAGAGGTCAGTAATTACAGGTCTAGCAGGTTTACATGATTTTTAAAAATGGAAATCTAGAGTTGGAACCAGAGATAAGCGGAAACTTTTTTGAGAATCCGGAAGAAGAAATAAGGAATAATAAATGAAAAGACAGCTTGGGAGTTCCGCTGATCTCTAATTGGAACCATTGTTCCGAAGTCAAGGATTATTGGAGAAGCAGAAAATAGCTCCTCTTAAAAATCAAAAGTGAATCAAGCTGACAATCCTAAAGCTTTTCTTGGAAATTCAGATGTTTTGTTAGGCATAACATTTGGAATTGGGTTTTAAATTTTTAAGTCTCTCCAGCTGCGTAGTTCACAAAAATACAGTAACCTCGAACTCAAAAAACGAACGAACCGAACGAAAATCACTGAAGCCTGTATGACACTAGTTGAAGAGGAATAAGAAGAAGTGAATGATGAAAAAACATCATTTTCCTTGTCACGACCATTCTGAAATCGAGAACAAAACACCCGCTTCTACTGTTTTTTGCTGGTTGTGGTCTAAAAACGAAATGAACCAGTTCAGGTGACACCCCATACTAATATTGGTTGATGAGAATAAGAAGACGTGGACGAAGAAGAACCTCCCGGAGACGTTCTTCAAAAAAGGAGCCGACATGATGTCTTGGCCTTGTCGGGTTGTCGTACAAGGAGAAGGGTTGTAATGGTAACTAACTTTGTGTTTGGGATGGCGGGGCAAAGCGACACGAAGTTCTTTTTTCGGGTCGAACTAGACTCCGCCCATTTTTGGCGACCGAGACAATACAAGGGGAGGAGATGGCAGGTAGTTAACGGGATGAGGTAGTGGTCAGATGAGGGTTAACTCAATATGGAACAAGTTCGAGAATAAGAAGATCAGAAGGCGTGATATCAGAAATAGAGGGAAAATAAGTGAGGAGAAGTATAATTAGAGAGATGGTGGAACCGTTGTATTCTCGGTTTATGATGCTGATGATCAAAATGAAGACTGTATGACTTTTTTATTGTTTTCTCGAACAGTTTTAGGCTCAAAAATTCCAAAATCATAAGGTAGTCGAGGAATGTCTATTTTAGGTGCAAAAACACACAGAAGATAAGAAAGGCAAAATAGACAAAAAAGAGATAACGCTAAAGCCTCGGTATCTCAAAAATACAGAGGGCGCTTATCCCTCGTTTCCTAGGCGTACGCATCATGATTGCATAAAAAGGACCGGATTTCCTTGATCTCTTTTTTTCGTTTCATTAACAAATTAATCGGTATGCAACACAACTGTTTAGAAGGAATGATGGCGGAGATGAAGAACGACCCAAAGGTATATGAAGTGATTGTTCTAGATGATGAACAAGAAGAGGAAGAGGAAGAAAAGACAAAGGAAAAATAAAAGAGAAGAAGCTAGAATAACCAAACATTCTGCTTCTTCTGTACTGCTTGAGATTGTTGCGTCTGTGATATAGTGTCGTCGGGATATTCCAAGGAAGAAGAAGAAGAACGACGTAACAATATAGGAACAAAAAAGTTCTGGATGTGAAGAAGAAGGAAGGGAAATGGAGTGCTGGGAAACGGTTCGGGACGGCCAAAGTTGGTTTTTGGAAACGAGGCGAGTGCAAATCGAAACGAGATCATGGAAATGGAAGAATAAGGTGTACCTGGTACTCGACTAGACAGGTTACTATTTCAAGTGAGTTTTCTGGAGGAATTGAGTTGGGATGATCACGGGATAGGCGTGTAAAAAATCCATAAGGAAATAGTACCGGGAGAGAAGGATTATGATAAGTTTAGGATTCTCAAAGCAGACAGTTTATTCAAATACGGTAAAACATAATGAATCTGAACACAAACCGTCAATCGTTCATTTTTGTTATTTGGTTATAACTTCTGAATTTTTCGGAGATTCCAGGATTTGAACATTCCTGATTAATGGAAGTTGTCCAAAGCTCAAGCTATGAAACACTGCTAAAATCGAAAAATGTTCGTAAAATGATATATTTTCATTCTTTTCAAAATTCAGAAAAAATTGAAATCCCTGAAAACGCCGTCGAAAATTTCAGCGCGCTCAGTTGTCGTCTAAGTTGTTTCAATCCAATTTTTCCACCATTTGTGAGGTAAACGAGCCTTTTTGGTTCTTTTCATCGAGTTTTCAATCCAATAATTTACTTGTTTTCTAAAATTTTTGAAAAAGAGCAATCGAAAACGGCGAAAAATTCTGAAAAGCTGCATGGAAAATATAGCACATACAGTGGCCTTGGACTAGGATTTTCGCGACCCTCTTGGAAGAAAACTGATCTAAAAAAATTACAAAAAAAACATTTTGGTCGAAGTTCACCTTTAAGTTTTGCGATTCCTCCGAATCGACATTAGTTTTTTCATAAGACTTTTTTGTAATTGTTTTCAGTTCGAAATTTCCTTGTCTGGAATCTATCCGAAATTTGTTTCAAACTCCTGCCAAATCTGTCTGTCACCTTCTCACCTATTACTATCACTTTCAAAACCAAAAAATCCTCTTTTTCCCTTATCTCCGAATTTCTCTTTCAGCCATATATCACCTCGCCTGGTTCACATGATCATCAAGTTTTTGTCTGATTTACAGGGTTACTGATAAGATTTATTCTTCTCTTCTTTTTTTTTCTGTCTTGACGGCTTCTCAGAAGACCACCATCATCTGAAACGTCTCCTTCTTCTTCTTCTTCTTAATCATCTTCAACCAAATACGTTCCTTTTTTCTTCTTCTTTTTTATAAACGAAGGTCATTGAAAGAAACCTTGTACTACTACTACTACCACCATGAATGTCGAAATGTGCCAGGAACCTGTCATCTCATTTCACCAATTCTCCTCAAAAGGAGATTTGAGTATGTGCCGATTTCAATGGCGCGGAAGAAGATTTGCCGCCAAATCCTTATCTACACATTACACTGAAACATATACATCCCCCAAGGTGACACTGACTGTTTGTATTAGAGACCAATAGGAACTAAGGTTATGGTTTTTTGAGTACCGAAGGTATCCTTTTTTCGGCTGCATACCTTTGGCAACTTTTTTACGAGAGGAAGGATTTTTTATGACGGAGACACTGGCTGACAGCTTCTTATTTTATGATTCCTGTTGTCATCAGATGACCATGAAAATGTACTTCCGAATGTTTCTTTTTTTATTCAGGTATTTGGTACAAAAAAGAAGAAGAATCATCTAGAAAATGTTGTTTTTGTGTGTGTTTTCGCCCCGGTTAACCTCGCGAGAGCTGAGTGACTGACCCGATCGTTATCGGTGCCCAGTGTGATGATCTTCCACCTTAAACCAATTCCGATTATTTTGCGGTCACGTTCCAAACTTTGTTGTTTTACCTTGAGAATTATCGAGTAACTATGTTCACAAAAACTGTGAAACCCGAGATGACCCACAATAAACTGTGTATCGAGAAATTAGCGATAATGATCTGGAAAAGTTATAAAGTTGCAAAATGATTCTAATTTAATTAGATGACTATCGGCGCGGAACTAAATCGGGAACTTTTGAAAAGGAGAGCCTCCTAAAAAATTGGAATCCAAGGACGCATCACAAGTGCAACATTATATGATAATCGAATTCGCAGGCGAATTTAATTGGATTTTCCGTCAAGATATGGGTTATTCTTTCGAGAAAAACTGTGAAAAAACAAAACGAAGTAAACAGAACATGGGTCAAGGTGACACTAATCCTTCCGGAGAGTAGAAATGCAAATATTCATTTAAACTCATTTGAGATACAAGAAAAAGATTTAGATGAAGTGACGAATACTGGCTTTCTTGTATTTCATCTTGAGAGCTGTCTCACAGTATGGGATCGGCTTGTCTCCAGAATACCATTCACAGAGAAGAGTTGGAAGTTGATTCTGGAATCCTTGGAGGGAGGTCAGAGAGACTCCGTTGACAACAATCCATGGGACGAACTTGTGCTGAAATTACAGTCTTTGAAAGTATTCGTTGATTTCCAAAGAGGCTTTCGAAATTATAGCAACTGTCAATAAAGTTATTAAACGTATTTTTCAGTGGAGTTTCGGCTATTTTGACCATTTTCAGAAATCGGGATGTCAACTGTTAAGTTTCCGATCACTTTGAAAATTTTGGAGGGTCTGTAACAGACCTAGATTAAAAACTTTGCATTTACAGAATTCTTTGATAATTCCTAGTTTTTCAGCTGTTTCCCAATTTCTGAAAGACACCCCTTTTCGGCTCATTTTTGTACTGAAAACGTGAAGAAAGAAAAACCACTAATTTTAAAAAAGTTCTGTGAATGCAAAGTTTTCAGTCTAGGTCTGTTTTACACCCTCTAAAATTGTTAAAGTGATCGGAAACTTCATGACATCAGATATGCAGACTTCTGCAAATAGTCAAAATGGCCGAAGATCCGCTGATAAATACGAAAAAAAAGAAATCAATAGATCAAACGATACCTGCTCTGGCCAGACATTGTTGGTGGTGGCAGCTGCCTTGGTTTGCAAATCAGCTCCGAGTTTCGAAACTAAGCACGATCTGAAATCTATTTCTAGACTTTCACCTATTTTAAAACTAACTGTGTCAATCTCTGGACATCTCCTCCGATTTGAAGTTTCTCAAAGCATTGTTGAACTGCATCCGCGAATTCAACCTTCTTCTGAAGGCTCTCCTCAATACATGAAAGAGTTGGAAGTGGACTTTGATCAGCCATCGAATCGATGAAGCATCCCTCGAACTTGTTAATCGAGCACTCTTCTTCTCCGTGCTGGCACTTAATGGTCCCGTCTTCTTGGAGCTTGGCATTTCCGAATGGAACGAGTTCGATGTTCACAAAGTCACCAAAGTTCTTGAAAACAACTGGATAGAGTTGTTTAGTTAGAAAGTTCTGGCAATCTGGGCAGAGCGCTTCGATGAGGACAGTGATGTTTATTTTCTGGTTGTGAGTAGCCGCGCGGTGTCTGAAATGTAGAAAATTACATTTGATAAAGCTAAGTTAATTTGAACTCACTTATCACACTGTTGAGTAAATCCACATTCTTTCTCGATATCCTTGTTGGAACACCACATCGAAGTTGGAATAGCATCACAGTTTCGAGCAGTGGCTTGGATTGCTCCAAAAAGCACAATCGAGGCGAAAACGAGTCGGACGAGCATTTCGAGAAAGACTGGTGCCACGGGTCAATCGTAAGGTATCTCTAGATGAAAAAGAAGGACGACATGTGTTCTGGTAGGAGGAGTGTGGCCATTGAAGATAGGATAGGATGAAAACAGAAATGATGGGTCAAACGGGAAAGATTTATGGTTTTGGTCTGAAGTTTGGTGGATATCATAGGAAAACTTTTCAAGAAGATTGGAAATAGAGTTTGCAGAAAATGAGCAAAGTTGTGAGATGATGCACATTGAGGGAGATTAAGAACGGAAAGAGGGGATAGTGAGGAAAACAAGCTTATATAAAAATCAGTTAATGTCTAGAGGCAAGCCAGAGTGCAATTTTCTGGAAGAAATGGACTTTATAACATACCAAGTTCGATTAGGGAAACCGTAAAACCTGTACTAGAAAGGGCCCCTTCAAGCCAATTTATCTCGGTTCCTGACAAAGATATGGAAAGCTGTCAACTGACAAATTTTTAATTATAATATCAAAAGTGTTTTGTCAGTTGACACATTTCAGATATCTTCCATAGGAATTGAGATTATTGAGCTCAAACTTTATAGTGTGTTGGACCGTTCTATTACAGGTTACAGTAGTTCTAAAATTTTTTTAATAACAATGTGCAATCGACAAATTTTTCGAAATGTCTCTGGCCTGAAAATCACATTCAGGAAACAAAAAAACTCGTTCCATAGTTATGTGTTTTTCATAACGAGAACCATTTTTAAGGATAATGAACCGGTTAATTGCATAATCCAATCACCGGTAGAGCTGAAACTTTTTCATTATTCCGTTTCCTGATTTTATGAATGATCAAATAGGATTTCTTTTAGAATCATATCCTTTTTCAAATAATACCTTTTTCCCCTATTGTTAGAAATGCTATTTAATTTGTTTTGCATTCAACCTCACTGGTAATGCGAAAAGGCAAATTCATCTGCTTCCTAATCCTGAAATAATACCGCTAGCCCCTTTTCTCAGGCCTACACCTGTCTACTCGCATCATATCCAAGTGCACACAAACAATTTTCTCTTTTTCTCTCGCAGCACATGCTCCTGTTTTTCCAGCTTTTCAGGTGGCTTTTCGAGGGTTTTTTTGACATGGACATCTTCTATACAAGATTAGTATTACTTGCAAATTTCATTGGAAAGAAAAAATTTGGTGATGGATCGAACTCCGGACTCCGCGTTTGTTCAAATTTGCAACCCACTCTGCCAAGAAGGGTAAAATGCGCCGGCAGTGACTCAGACCAACATATGCACCTCTCTACTTCACCAATTTACTTTTTTTTCAGAAAAAAAGTTAATTTGATATCAAAAGAAGAAACATTCTGAACATAGTTAATCGAGTTTTTTCTAGCTTTGCACTCTTTCCCGTTTTTTTCAGAAGAAAATAAATGAATCACCATTTTCCTTCTCAGAAATACAGTAGTACAGTTTGTTAATATGTTTTGACTTTCTTTGATTATTCACCCTCTCCATAAAAAATATGTTCTAGAAAATGAACAGTTTTCTTCAGTCCTCTTTCTTTCCTCTACACAATGTTTATCCTATGAATCCGAGAGACCTTCTCTCCGTGTCAGTACCACACTGTACCCTCTTCCTCTCACACACTATTTTTCCCCGCCTAACCGCCTGCTGTCGGCAGTACTTGTCGATCGATGGTCACCCTCCTGCTGGCAGCCGCACATGTCGGTTTGTGTGCCTCGTTTCTCCTTCATTCTCTCTGCAGGCCACTACACTCTCGTTTTTTCGTTTTTCTCTGTTCTTTTTTTTTTAAGTATTCAAGTTTTACACATTTTCAGAATGGATCCTAAATTTCTGGTCGTTGAGATTGATTCCAAAGAGCAGGCTCTTCAGTTGGTACAAATTATGGTGAGTTTCTCAAGGCTTTTCGAATGAATTCAGCTTTTAATAAACTATGAAGTATTCTTCATTTAATCTCGGAAATAATTTGAATTTGATAGTATTAGGATTTTTCAATTTCTTTTCTTTTAAAAATTCAAATTTTAATTTTTAGCTAGAAAAAGGTTTCGGCCGCCTGATGCTTCTCGATGAACTTTCCAAGCATCCAAGTGTTTCCAAAGCGCTGAATGAAACCAAAGAAACGGCACAGAAATCCGCTCCAGAGGTCCAGAAATCGCCTACGCCAGAGAAAAACCTGTGAGTTTTTTATACGAAAAATTCGTGAAAATTACTGAAAAGTTTTTTCAGCTCGAGACGCAGAAAACGTTTTTGAAATGTCCTTAAAAAATACGGTACCCATTTAATTCCAATTATTTTTGAAGCTTTCCCAAAAGTTATCCTTATTCCTGGAACTCAACATTCCGATAGCAGAGCCATTTGCCCGATCCCTCAGAATTTCTATAAAAATTCTAAGTTTCAGGAATTATTCCCCGCCTCCACAACTGTCCAACGAAGTTGTAACATCTACAGTTGTCAAACAGGAGCCACCGACAGAGTATGAAGAGGAGGAAGAAGAAGAGGACATGCTGTTGACCAGCAGGCATACAAATCTGAAACGTCCCTACAATCAAGAATACAATGAGCAGTTGTTGAATATGTTGAGTGCTGAACCCGAACTTGTTCCGATTGGGGTCAATACAACGGTTAGTTTCAACATCTAAAAATAAGTTCTTCACATTTAAATTTAAGGGTGAAGAACCATCAGGATCCAACTGTGATAATCCGGCAAAAAGAAAAAATATTGGAGAATATCATGAATGTAGATTGTGTGGAGTTCGAGTGAAGACGCCTAGAAGCGGTCGATGGAATCTTCAGATGCACGTCATTGCTCTTCATTGTGTTGGACGACAATACAGATGTAAACTATGCGACTATGTCGATTATAGAAAATCGACGATGAGGAAACATACGATTTCTCAGCATGGAGAGGATATTCCACCACATAACATGACGTGAGTTTTTAAGATTAAAATTTCAATGGAAACCTAAATTTCACATCCGTAGTTAGATTTCCAGACGACATTCAAGCAATCATACTGAAAAAATCTGGAAAAAATACTCACTCCCATAAATTGGATAGACATTTTAGAGCAGGGATGTTCGGAATGGAATTTCGGGATGTTTCAATTTTATAAATTTCGGAATATTCCGATTTTATGAATTTTGGAATTTCGGAATATTCCGATTTTCAAAAATCTCGGAATCTCATTTTCCCATCACGAAATTCGGAACTCCGTTCCAAACATCCCTGATTTCGGAGCATAGAAAATAAAAAATTTTTGAATCAGTAATTAAAAGCATTATTTTACTTGGAAATCTCAGAAAACTCTGATATTTATATTGAATCTCTCGAGCTTATCCATTTTTAATTTTTCAGAGACGACACAATGCGGACAGAATGGCATGAGGCAATGATGAAATGCTTTCCAGAATTTGCTCATCGCACCGGATTTCTCTCATAATATCTAATGCTGAACATAATTATTTTCTGTTACCATTCCACTTTATTTCAACCATGACATTTTCTTTTTACATTGAGAATAAATGAGTTTACAGCAACTTAACATTTGTAAATTTCTCGAGTTCTCGAATTGCATTTTCGATGTCACTGACCATGATGGTATTCCATCCCAACTTCTCCGCAGCTTCGATATTCTCATGAAGATCATCAAGGAACACAATTTCTTCTGGCTTCACGCCAAGTCTCTCTTCTACCAACTGATAAAATCTGGCATCTGGTTTCATCAAGTGTTCCAGACATGACTCAACGACTTCATCAAAATGAGTCAGATCACATGGTAGTCGTGTTTCTTTGTGCTCCTGAAAACGAAATATAAATGGTTGTATTGATAAGAATAGTGCTCTAACCTTGTCTAAAAACATGTTATTTGTCAGCATGGCAGTTTTGAATCCCTTCTTCTTAAGAAGTTCAACTGTGTTTTGCATGTTCTTGTGCTGAAAACAAATGTGTTGTTTTTGAATCCGGATAATTCAGAGACATACAATTCTAACATTCTCTCCTCGGAGGCATTCGGTATAAGGCTTAATGACAACGTCATGATTGATAGTGTCTCCGTACTGAAAAATAAATTAGATTAGGAATCCCCTTTAAAAAACTCTTAACCAACTTTATGCTTCAAATATTGCATGAATAGTCCTCCTTCCAAATCATCAACAGTTAAGGTTCCCAAAAACAGACTTCTATCTGGTCCCAACCATTGAGAGAATTCGATTCCAACCGATTCGCTGTGCACAGCTTCTTCCGGAAGACCCAGAGATCTTGACATGGCTGCCCATTTATCCCTGACACCTTCATAGGAGAGGAGAACTCCTCCAAAATCGTAGACAACGGCTTTTATTTGGCTTTTCACTGTCATTCTGAAAGTTGGAAAGTTAATGGAATAGAGCATCAAAAGAACGCGTTATTGAACGAGTTGGTCTGTCTGAAAACGCATTTTTAAAGCTCAAAGCGAGACGCAGAGAAAGAAAGAGAAACTGAAATTGAGTGTACTTTCATCCCTATAAAATACATGAAGAGAGGAATATAGACAGTTTGATATGGAAACAAAAAAATGGAATTTGAACTTTTCAGTTTGTTTCAATGATCTCTCTTGCATAGGGTAAAACGGAAAACGAGAGAACAGATTGTAGTTGAGGAGGGTCCCTTCAGAATCTACCTTCTCTTTTTTTTTCCGTGCTTCCCTCTCCGTTTTCTTCTCCTTTTTCCACATTTTATTTGGCCAGAAGGAGAAAGCTTTCCGAGGAAGAGGACATCCAAAATGAAGAGGGTTGTAGAGAAAAGAGCAACCTAGACTCAAACTTATAGACAAATTTCGAAAATTCAGAGTGTTTTTCAAAAGTCAGGTGAAAAAGACCAAAAGTTTAAAGAAGATAAAAAATTCACAACGGACACAAAGATCTCGAACAATTCTATGAATGGCAACTAGATAATTTTCGAACAAAAGAAGTCTGGCTGTTGAATTTTTGAACTTTTGTCTCATTCGAAAACAACCTGATGATCAAGAAGATAATATCTCGGGAATCATAGACATGATTTATATCAATATGGGGAAATGTATAGTATAGTGATGATTGATTTTCTAACTAGAGTGTTTTAATATTAAAAGTCGGAGGAGGCTCCAGAAACTTTCGAAGATATTAGCCGAAGAAAGATTTAAAACTGAATACTTAAAACCTCCCTGTGGCCCCTATTTATACACTTGAATAGCTCTATGATTAGCCTGTGATCAAGAAAACATAAAATGATGTGTATTTGTTTTGAACATAAGTCATAACACAATTTGAAATGACTCAAGCAATAATGGAAGAAGTCATAAAATGGGCGGAGTCGTACAGCAATGAATGCTCGAGCTGAGCGTCCTTTTAAACGAATAGGGATTGATTTTAAAAGGGGCGGAGCTTGAAAATAGAACCAGAGATCGCACAGGGGAAGGGGAGAAAAGAAAATGAGAAATTTCGTGATAGTTCGTAGCAAAAAGTGATTATTCTCTACGTCTCCAAGGCAAAAAGGGTTGATTGTAATCCGAAACGATTGGATCAAGAGTTGTATTACTTTGTTTCGGTGACCGGAAGAATCGATACGCCCACATGATCTGAACCGTCTTTTGCTTTTAATTTTTCGATTTGATTCAAACCCACAAAATGCGATTATCTCTTTGGAATTAGTGGGCAGTAGGAAACAAACAGTTCAATGAACCAGACGGTTCTACAGGTTCAGTATGTTTCAAGTTAGAATTCAAAGTTTAACAGTAGATTTATAAAATAGAACGAATTATTGAAATGTAGACAAGTTAGAAGATACGGACATCAAGAAATTCTTATCTTTTAGGACAAAAAATGAAAAGGGAGACAATCAAACTACAGTTTTTCAAAGAAAAGAAAAGATTGTTGAGACCGAAAAGATCGAGTTTCAATAGACGATGTTGGTGGAAAACATGTCTGTAGATTTATATGTTGTAGCGATCAATTTTATGGAATTTTACCATCTAGAGATTGCTAACTCTAAACCAGTTCAGTCGGTAGAAACAGATGAAATCTAAAAAAACAATCCGAGAAGTTTCAAAATCCGGCAACAATGTGCAACGAGATCAAAAACAAAAGATAGATTCCCCTTCACTTGTGAAAATCAAAACTGTCAATGTTTTTTCAGCTGCACATCACATACCGTTTGTACAAATCCCAGGTCATGACCCTGAAGTTTGAGCACTTGATCTGAAAAATATGGTTGCTAAGAAATCACGAAATGGACGGTCTTTGGAAATTTGACATATACAGAACCAATCCATAAGATATACAAATACGTATTTTTCAGTTGATTTTCGCTCATTTTTACAATTTTCAAGAGTCTGGAGCTCGGCTGTGAAATCGCAAAATAACTGAAAAAAAAGGAATTTCCAAAGATTCTGCAAATTTAAAGTTTTCAATCTAGGTCTGTATTACATCTTCCAATGTTTTCAAAGTGATCCGACTCTTGACAACAGAGCTCTAGACTCTGGAAAATGGTCAAATTTAATTTTTTTTCGTATATCTTATTGATCGGTAATGTATGTTGTTGTAACAGTAAACCATTCCCAATCTACAGTTGATCTTATAAAATTGAATTATATGTTTACTGGAGCTATTATGAATCTGCAGCATCAGAAAGAATTAATTTTTCGGAACACACTGTTCAAAATGATTTCTGATCATCATTTTTTCATGTAGTTCATTAGTTTATCAAAACAAACTTCCATATGAGAAACTTCCGGCGCCATTGCTTTAATTGGCGTCAAATAGGTCTGCTGACGTAATTGTGAGATTCAATTCACAATTTTTCTGTCTTGATTTCTTGGTCTTTTGAGGGTGATGGTTTTGTGTATTGAGCTTTTTAAAAATCAGAATGTTCATCGTGGGAGCCGCAATTGGTCTCGATCTTTTACAGAAACGTTTTCATCGTTTGTAGCTTTGTTTCGTTGCTCATCCATTAATCGTACACTATACTAGACACAGTCGGAAGAGAGACAGGATCATCTATGATCCGCAGCCGTTCGGCAAAATTTGTTATGGTCATTCTACGGAGAGACTGCTCTTATCATCTGTTTCAATAATCATGATTGCGGAAGTATTGGTAAAGTCTCTTTCGGAAGATTTTCTAATCAGACTACATACAAATGAAATGGTTCAATTCTCATAATTTTGACCATGAACTTGTGGGATCTATGAACCTAGAACGAACAAAGTTTGTAAAATCACATTGAGTCTTTATTTACCTAGTTTGTAAAATTTTAAACTTTGTTTGGTTTTCTGACCCGGTAATATTTGAAAAGTACAAAAAGTCAGGAATGTTTTAAAAATGTGATACTTTCATTAACCCCCGCAATTAAACTGTACAGTTGGTATGTTAGTACAGAATAATTCTCGAACATTCTCCGTATTGTGTGGATAGTTAAATTTTTGCACTGGACATGATATGATGATGGTCAATATGTACAGAGTGGCTGTTAATTAGTCGCAATAGTTTGAAATGAGGTAAATCAAAAACTAAAAGTATCACATAAGAGATACAGAAAACTTAATAGGGTTTTTATATATCTTCCTTATACATTACCGGTCAATAAGAAATACAAACACGTGCTTTTCAGTTGATGTTGACCTATTTCAGGAGTCTGGAGCTTGATTGTCGAGTTTCCGACCACTTCGAAAACATTGAAAGTTATAAAACAGACCTAGATTGAAACTTTCATTCCCAGAATTTTTGAAAATTCCATTTATTTTCGAATTCTGAAAGACACCCCTTCTTTGCCGGTTTTTTACTGAAAACGTGAAAAAGCATGTGTCTTTCAGATATCTGCAAATAGCTGAAAAACTAAAAATTTTCAAAAAATTCTGTGAAATTTTCTAAGTGACGGAAACTTGACAACCAAGCTTCAGACTTTCAGACAGACCAATGATCTTATGGTGATGAGATCGAATACGGAAATGGAGGACATGATCCTCGAACACTTTTTGATAATCCCCGAACGACCAGGGGTATGTGCCATCTAGAGATATCCAGCCCCAGATAAAAGCACGCCACACCAGAAGACTGTCTACACCCGCTTTCTTTATGAGGTGTGGATTGCATCTTTGCGCAGATCATTCCGAAATGGCTATTTTTCGTCCAAACTATTTACCACCATTGTAAAAGGTACAGAAACGGTGGGGTGCTCAGGAATGCGATCGGGGCCAAATGGTCCGATACGGTGCAGAATATCAGTTCAGGATCACCTGTACATTCCAAAATTTCAGTTTACGCCACCGTACCATTTAGGTTATAACATCGAATGAAGCTGCCACCAAATAATAAATTGATCGTTTCTTTTTTAGGAAGTGAGCGTATAAATATGAAACGCTCGCAGAGAGCCATTTTTCAGTCAAGGTGGCCTAATTTTGCCAGTTTTGTTGGTATCATTATGAAAATTATCAAGAGTATGTAATTTGAGGTCCTGAACCCGATTTTTTAGTCACCAAATACTTTTTATCGGTTCTTCTGTTACACTCCCAAATTAGGGTGACCGTATAAATGGGACACGCACTCTAGATTACTCAAAAGCATTTTTGTAACGGGCCGTGCTTTTTCCCGAATTTCGGGGCCCGGGCCTTGAAATTTTCCTCAGGCCCTGCCCGGAATTTTACAAGTATGCTCAAAAGTTTCATTTCTTTACGGAGAGTTTCATTACTCTCGGTACGGCCTGGCCTGCGGCCCTGAGTTTTCAGATATGGATGAAGCGATGGATGAAGCAATGGACAAAAATGGAAGAGTTGAAGAAAATTGGGATTACGTTTCATCTATAAAAATCTTAAACTCATGAATTATTATTTTTAACCAGGACCGACAGGCATCTCTAGCGATTTATATATAAGAAAGATTTAGTATCAAAATACAGAAATAATGAATCACGCAGTGAGGATGCAACCAATTCAAATATCTGCAATTCTTCCTTTAATTCAAATTGTTTGAAAATTTTAATATGTTACAACTTCTTGTTATTTTGTTTATTGGTTCTTTTTAATACACTTTAATACACACAAACAGACCAGTATGTTTTCCGAATTTTCTCGGTCTGGTAAAAAATTTAATTTTATCGAAGATCTTTTGATAGTGTACTCCTCTAACAGGTGGTTTTCTATTACAGAAATTCTACGGTAATTTATTAATTTCTTTGATTTACGGATTTTTTTCACACATTCTCCCATCGCAAACTCATCTCTCTTCTCCAATTCCCTCTCTCAATTTGTGGGCGGAGTCACGGCACACACTAAGTATAGCGGGCGGCGGAACCCGTGAGATGTCGGCTGCAGCGTACAAGCACCTTGGCCGCCGCGACAGCAGTGGCAAGAGTTGTGATGACTTACTTAGGACACCTTTGGAGGGTTTCGGTCCGCTGAAAAGAAAAATAGTACGCCTTAGTCTGAGCTCTTCTTCTACGAAAAATTTTGGAAAGATTCCTTAGGAAGGACTAGAATTACAGAAACAAAATTGGGTGACAATGTCCACAGTTTCGTCGAAAACCCCTTAGTTACACATTTTCCCCAATGTTTACAGAAAGTTGGTGATCGTGTGAAACAAGAATTTGGCGAGTTCGTGTTCAGACTAGACATGGGTAGAATACAATCAAGGAGTCTTATTTTTAGGGGTAATTGTGTCGTACTTTGGCTTTAATTAGAACTACTTGATATCAAGGCGTCAAGAGTATAGTTGTTTTGTCTTCAGAAGAAGTGGTGGGGAGGCGATGGTCAAAATAAAATCAGCTGTTCTTCTTTTAATTTCATTCATTGTATGTACACCTTCCGAATCATCGCTTCTCCTCCTTTGTTTTCTTCTGAAACTGCCACCCATCTTGCCACGTCATAAACGTTGAATGCGTAGCCATTCCACGGACACACTACAACCACTTCACTCGCTTTCTTTTGCATTTGAATATTCATAGGTTTTTACAGAACTATTCTTCTCTTCTTGTCTCTGAAAATTTGCTTTGTTTTGTTTTGTTTAGTTCTGTGAAGTCTAGGGTCTTCATTTTGTTTATTTAGTGTTTTCATATCATTTCCTAAGGAAAGAGATGATCTTATGATGAGAATCATGTGAAGAAAAAACGGAAGGAGAACGTTTGACATATGATTAGGCGGCTCCGCGACGTTTCGAAAGACGACGTTTCGAAAGTGTGACGATTCGCAAGTTTATCAAATTACTGGTTTCCTTCCTTTGAGCTTTACAGTATCATCGTGTGTTTTCTTTAATGGCTCGGTGAATGGAGCCTGTATTGTGACCTCTGAGTTTTAGACGTTTTTTTCCAAAGTTTTCCTTGAGAACTCAAACTTGACAGCGAGTCTTGATCTTTAACTTCCTTTATCTGTCTTTGGTATCGTTTTTCATTTTTTTTTGTATTCACGAACGAAAGAACATAAGTTTTTTGATTGATATCAAACATGTGAGGATTCAAATTGTTTTTGTCGTCGATCGACCAAAATTTTCAAAAAAATCTAAAGACACACAATCACATAATTTTGTAGCCTGCAAAGTTTACATTCTCGTTAAAATCACAATAATGGAATTCGAAAATAAACAAAATTCGTTTTGAAAAAAAGTGACACCTTTTTTTTTCCTTTTCTCACACTTTTAGCTAGCTATCCGGTTTACAAAAGTAGTCTTATCACAATCAGAAGAAGTGACCTTTTGTTTATTTTTATAACCAACCATCATCCATCAGATTCAAGGTTGACCAAAAAAGAGAAAAGAACGAGTGGAAGTAGGCGTCAAAATTGGTTGAACTGGAATCGAAATCATTAGGACAGTATAAAAATGTTCCCACTTTGTTTTGTTTTTTTTTTAGATTTGTTATCTTCAATATTCAGAGTTAGGTTCTTATATCGTTTTGAAAAAAAAAACAAAAACCAAAAATCAAAAAGTTGTATTTTTCCTAGACAAACTGTAGTAAAAGTGCCATCATCTGTTGTCCAAACAACGTCTTCTTTCCGTTTTGTTCATCTTGAAAACGAAATGAACAAGTGACGTTATTTTCATTTCGTTAGACTACCTATCCAAGATTTCTTTTTGTGTTGTTTTGGACTTTTTGAATGATGGTCAACAAGGATGGCGCCGGTAGAGATCAAGATGACAGCTTTTTATTATCTCTACTGTCTTTTTGTGAAGTAAGATGATTTCTTGGTAAAGTTATCGAGTCAGAGATTAGCTGGTGGATGTAGTTTGGAACTTTTAGAAATCTTTTTTCTTCGTTAGCCCTGTAAATGGACGAGTTGGAGCCCAAAGTTTTTTTTCAAAGTTTTCAGGGTGCCCTAGTTAATATTCTTTTTTAAAAAGTATTTCTATCTTTATAAATTAAGCTTTTTGTTCTTTATAAAAGTATTTTGAATCTAATTTTCACAGCACATGAAACATAAATATCATTTCATTTTTGTAACATACAAGAGAGAAAGTGGTATTAATTAGTTCGAATGGAATATTTCTTTGAACCGCATTCCCGTAAAACCTGTATTAGAAGGGCTTTCAAAAATTTCTCGTTTAAAAGTTGGTGAATTATCGTTTTAAATTCATAAAAAATGTACAAATTTCAGCAAAACTGAGCAATTTGAGCAAAAAAAGCGTTTTTCAACAGATTTCTGTGAAATTTCAACTAAAATCGTGGAATTTTCAGAATATTTTCACTGAAAACGTACTCAATTATTTATTGTCGGACTACACATTTTTAATAGAACCCTTTTTATTTTTCCAAGCCCCTCTCGGAAGGTCCATCTATTAGAGGCGCCCTTCTATTAAAGAGGCCCTTTTAATACAGGTTTTACGGTATTCTGGTACAAAAATGATTGGAAAAATAGGGAAAAGGAATACGGGAAAACAAATATTTTAAGTTAAATTAGTTGTTGTTGTGCTACGTTTTGTTTCACATGTTCGGTTTTTTGTACCAGAATAATAGTAAAACTCGAACAGATTTTCCAAGTTTTACTTTCTCTAATGGAAATGTGCGATCCGATACAAAAAAAGTGTTTCAGCATATAGCGCTGCAGTTGAAAAAAGAAATGTTCCATACGAATACTTTTATCAGTACCCTTCTCCCTTTCCTATCCCTTATTTGTTGTTTTGTTGCGTAACTTCTTCACACTTCTCATCCTTTTTTCGATTATCTTCTTCTCCGTTTTCTTCTGTCTTCAACATCTTCATTTGGCGCCTCACGACCTCTTTAAACCCTCCCCTTTTTTTGCCAATAATGATCGATTTGCACTATCGAAACGCATGAAAAAAATAAATGAAAAAAGGGGCGTATCGGTGGGGACCGCCCCGTACCAAACCGAACCGAAACTGTGGCGAGATAAATCACGGGCGGCCAAAAACGGTTTTCAATATAGAGAGACAGCATGCGGTCTCTTCTTCCACTTCCACCGTATTCGGCTGAAATGCTACAGTTACATCATCGTCAAATTCAGATGAATTGGATCTCGTATTACTTGGGCAACCATCCACGGAGGGTACTTCTCACAGTATTTTGTGTATTAATTCCGCTGCTCAGGTGGGTGTGTGATATATCGAATTAGAGATCAAACAAGATATTCATTGATTACAACGAGTGTCACCTTTCACTATCTCCCTTTCACTTGTTCTCTTTTTTACAGCTACTTTCTGATCTATCCGCTGGAAATCGAATGTGACATTAGACGAGGATTCGCAAACAAGCATGGCCATGCCGTCGAAGAACTGACTGTATGTCTTTCTTGATAATTCCTTAATGAACCGAAATAGTTTTAGATAAGGTCTAAATTTCTAATTCAATAAGAAAATTGAGAACCTAATGGGTTTATTCATGTGAGACAAAAAACCCGGCAAGCAACTTAAAAAATAGCCAAAAAACTCTGGAAAAACTCGGAGAATAAACCAATTTGGCTGAAACTTTTTGTGAAATTGGAGAAAACTATGAGGAACATATTGAGTAGATGTAATAAATTTGTTGAAAACTTGAAAGCTTTTAAATATTCACTCGACATAAGTTATGCTCATTTTTTCTGCTCAGAACCCCAAGCTAAACTTCTCGATTCTTGTATTTTATCCCCTTAAATTTTTAGACATCATGTTTATCATCATGTTTATGTGGGTCAAAACTAGTCACAAGTTTTCTCTGAAAGACGACGTTTTCGGTTAATTCCAATCTTGCAAATCTACCCAAATTGTATGAAAAGTCCACGGTAGATAAACAAGTTGACCACTGTGGTTCTTGCAAAAACGAAATATTAAAGATTAAAACAATTAAGTCATTTGAACAACAATTAGCGTATTTCAGAAATTCTCCAACTTCTACAACATCTCCGTCGGTGGACTTGAGATCTGGGGAATCTTAGCACGAAACAAATCAACGGATAAAGATTTAAAAATCAACTTGAAATTACTCAATGAGATAGATGAATTGCATCAATATGTATGGAACTATACGACAGAGTACAAGGGCGAAACGATTCGGTTCAAAGATCTCTCTTCAGAAGATATCAACTACGTCTTCAACTATTATCGGGTACGGTAGTTTGTACTTTTATGAACAATTTGACTGTTTGCAAACCAATCCGATCAAGATCAAAGATTCATTTCAGAGGTTACTTGCGATTGATTGGATGCCCAGTGTGAATCTCTCCTACCCATTGGCATCTGCATTCGGACATTCATTTTATTTAGGATCTCAGTTCTTTGGAGTGAATCGAGGAGAAGAATCAAAGGTGAGAGGAAGTTTATGGTAGTTTGACAAACACAAAGGATCAGACAGACAGAGTTAATTAACTCTTGAGGAATCTTTTGTTTTGTTTTGTTTTGTTTTAGAGGGATCAAAGGTTCAAAAGTGGGAGAACTTGTTGAGTAATGAAGTTGAGGGAATTGAACAGAAGAATCAGAAACCAGATCTTGATTTCAGGTTGGCCCTATCAAAACCTCTCAGTTTGTGGCACTTTGGTACATGAGCAAAGCGGAAACCTTTGAACAGAAGCAGAAACTGCAAGCTGTCCAACTTGGAATTTTTAAAAAATCCGCAGAGAAACCAAATGATTTGCTTTTCGATTTTGAAATGTTTGGAGATCAAGTGGCCAATTCAGAAATGCTTCGTGGAACTCTCACTACTGTAAAACTGTTTTTCATTGGAGGATGTCTAATGGTTGCCTTTATGGCTTGTACATTTACCGAACTAACTGTATTCTCAAAAATAATGTTGATCATAGGAGCAATCGGATCTCCAATCGCAGCAACGGGTGCCTGTTTTGCAATTCTTGGATGGGTTGGACACCCATTCAATTCTATTATGTGTATTACTCCATTCCTGATTCTTGGTATCGGTGTTGACGATGCCTTTTTGCTTCTGAATTGCTGGAGACGTGAGGAAAGCAAAGAGAAATCAGCAAAAGAAGCACAGAATCAATTGGCACGGGTTATCAGAGAGATCTCTCCATCAATGGCAATCACTTCTTTAACAAATACATTGGCTTTCGGAGTTGGATTCCTGGCTCCAACTCCACAAATGAGCTCATTCTGTCTTGGAACTGCACTGGCCATTGTGCTAGATTTCTTATTGGAATTTTTGATTTTTGTGCCTTGCATGGTTTTATTTTACGAGAAGAAACCAAAATCTGAAGTGAAGAATGAGAAACGAATCGAGGCCGAGAACAAAGTCGATCTTCAAGAAGCATCGATTTCAACGGCAACATTTAACTGGAGAAGTTTCACTGGATTGCTACTTTCAGTTCCTGGAAGATTTCTTGTCATCTTTCTCTATCTATCTATTTTCACGGCAACTTATCTTGGAGTGACTCGCATGGAATCCACATTTGACCCATCGAAAACGTTCCCATCTGATTCTAAACTCGTCGATTCTTTGGCTAGTTTCACATCGATTCAAGAAGAGGTAGGTATCAGAAGACCACGTGTTATTCTCATGAAGTGACATAAAAACCGAATAAGAATGCTTATCTTTTCAGTACTCTCCACTCAATTTCCTCTCCAACGTCCCTGATCTACAGAATGATACCGATGTGGCGATTTTCGAAGAAATGATTCACAGATTAGAGAATCGGGAGGGATGTTATGGAAATACGGCATCACATAATATCTACAGAGACTATAAGGAATACTTGAATTATACGAAATCAGAAGAGAAGAACTATAATCAATTGGAAAAGTTTTTGAAAGGAAGAGTGATGGACGATGGAGGAACTATCAAATGGCATAAGGAAGGGTGAGCAGAATTAATTTTCTGAACTTTAAAGATCTCTGAAATTGCTGCTTGCACTTTTAGTACTTTATTCTGATTTTCAAATCACTCTGAAAGAAACTGGTTATTTTGTGATTTGACCTGTTCCGATTTGGCCTTCAACACTAACACCAAATGTGTCTTATTTCTTGCAAACAAATCAGTTTTCAGAAACGATACAGTGATCGATTTGATCAATTTTGTTGTGGTATGCCAGGGACGTTCAAGTTGGTCTGAAAGAGCTGTAAATGTTGAAAAAACTCGACAGATTCTGGTTGATTATCCACAGTATAACATCACACTTTTCGACTACGATGGAACGATTTACGACTTGATTATTACAGTGAAGGTATTGTCTTGAAATTTCCAGAATAAGATTAGCATCTAAAATTCATACAGGGAGAACTGGTCAAATCATTGGCAATCACTTTCACTTGTATGACAATTGCTTGTTTTGTTATTATGCCTTCTTTTGTGGCACCAACTATTGCTTCAGTGGCCACTGTTTCCATCTCTTTCTGTAAGTTCTTCTTCTTCAAAAAAAAGAAAGGCAGAGAGTACGAGAGAGTGTAACAAAAAAGGGGACGCAGAGTGGGTGCCTCGGAATTCAGTAACTCTATAGAACCAATGTAAACTATGTCAAATCGCCGCCCGGTTAGCTCAGTCGGTAAAGCACCAGACTCTTAATCCGGTTGTCGCGGGTTCGAGTCCCGCATTGATTTTGATTTTTTACATTTTATTTCAGGTCTCATTGGATTTCTCTCAATCTGGGGACAAAACCTCGATCCTGTCACAATGATTGACGTCATCATGGCCATCGGATTTTCTGTGGACTACAGCGCACACGTTTGCTACCATTACTATTGTGCCAGAGAGCAGAACTTGGGGTCGAAGCAAGAAGTGATCACACAAGTATTGCAAGCTGTTGGAAGACCAGTTATTGAAGCATCTCTGACTACGTTGCTATGCATGGCTCCGTTGTTTGTAGTTCCAGTTTATATGATTCAATCGTTTGCGAAAACGGTAACTCTGGTGACGACATTTGGATTGTTACATGGATTATTCTTCCTCCCCGTTGTTTTATATTTTATACCTCTGAATACTCCAAAACATTCCCTTCCAACATTCACTCCAAGTACTCAGCCATTAGTAGCTCTGGAAGAGGATGAAAAATAATTCATGACCTATGGAACTCCCTTGTACATATTCGATCTGTAACAAATCGATCCCCGTGTTTCTTCTCAGCCATCATCCCAAACATAACGCGTAGCTCTTTCCGAATTGTTTCTTTTTGCCCCCAGCCACCTCATGTATATGGTATTGTGTGTGTAAATACTAGATCCTCGTTTCCCAAACCATCATTCGCTAATAATAATAATAAAACTTTGGTATTCGCAAAAAGTTCTTCTCTGAATCAACACCGAAGACGTTAAACATTCCCCCTCGTCTTTGTCTCTGACTCATTTCGATTATTCCCATTTTATTGCTCCTCAAACTTTTCTAGATCGAGAAATCACGAGAAAAACGGAAAATGAAACAAAACAAGCGAATTTTTTGGGTGGAAAAAAGTCATAAGTCTCTCTATCTGTTTCGTTCGCATCTGAAAAACAAGCGGCTGATGAAAAGAGCAGAAACCATGACGTGGCACTTCACCCAGTACTTTCTCTTAGATTATCAGACTGCGATCTTTGTATTTTGACATGATTAGGTGAAAAGGCCGAGGAGCAATTGGAAAAAAAGAAAACAGTTTCAGGAGAAAAGTGACAAGAAATGGAGAAGGTGGGAGGTTTTCTTATCTTACGAATGATGAAGTGATGTTACTGAGAAGGACAGGAAGCGCCAGAGAAACATGCTCAAAATAGAAAGCAGTAAAAAAACTTGGTCAAGATCTTTCAGGATTCTGGTATTTTTTCTGATTTCTTGAAGACTCCGCATCAGTGAGAGCAAATATCATCCGTTTCATCTCGAAATTAATTGGAAACCTCATCGGAAACCAGTCATTGGAATTCGAACTATTTTCTAAATTTATTTTTCTACCGTCATTCATTTTTTTTGACATCATCCTATTCACAAGCACCAAGAATGTGTGGGCAGTTCCAGATTTTTCTAGATTCCAGCGGCCGCAATTCCCCGAATTTCTCTGAAAACCCACTCGTGAGCGTCGCTTCGTCGTGTACTCTGAATCTGATGCTCCTCTCCGTTTCGTGGCTTCATTTTCCGGAGGAGAGCACTGATAAGAAAAACAAAAGACAAATTTTCTCTTGTTATTCAAAACTGTCACTTTATCATCGTTTTTCCCTTTCTTCGCAGTTCTTTGGAATGTCAAAAAAGAATTATTTAAGAATAAATAAAGACTGGGTTTGGAAGTTCAGAGTGTGGAAAAAAAATCATCTATGGAGGATCGTGTCGAAGGATCTGGAATTATTTTCTTTCAACAGAAGACCATTTTCCGAATCTGATATGGCCACAGACAGTTTGATTTTCTCATTCAATGAAAAATATTCGAATATTGTAAAATTGGGAGAAATGCCCTTCTATATGACACTAAAATATCGATTACGAAATCGACAGTCTATGCTTTATGTATTGAAAATTTCAAAGTTTACTATTCCGAAGAATTATTGTCGATTGGCGCCAGAAAATTTGAGCGCCTTCGCTTGTTCTGATCTGCGAGAGGGACTCGGAAAAATAAAAGGTCCTTTGCAATAGAAAGGCATCTTCGAAATGTGTTGGTGGAAATTGAACATTTTCGTACGTTTTCAGAGAAAAATATTCCGGAGATTCCACAACTTCACAGAAATTTGTGAAAACACTTTTTTTTGCTCAAAAACTTGCACAACTTTTTTAATTGATGGATTTCTATGCATTTTGAAAGAGAATTCACTGAATTTTTTCGATGAAAATTTTTGAGAAGAAAGGCCGAAAAAATCGAAGGACCCTCTCCAATTGAAGGGCCCCTTTAACAGAAGGGCCCTCCTGAGGTACCTTGGAACAAAAGAAGGGTCAGCCTTTCTATAACAGGTTGTATGGTAGTCTGGTTTTTCAATGAAAAATATGTTCTAGAGATGCTAGTGATCATATTTTTTCAAATAAAAAAATCCAAATTCTTTTCAGAAAATCCCGAAAAGGTTATATGATAAACTTTTTCTATATAGTATCAAATTTTAAAGCGGTACATCGTAAATCGGCACGAGCCACCCGCGAGATTTTCAGGTGCCAGTTTTCATTTTAATTTTCGACACTACTCTAGCTGTGGGATACTGTAGAACTGGTTGACTTCTATTTCCATTTGGAGAAGATGGAGACTGCCTCAAAATCGACTGTAATGGTTTCGTAGATTTCCGTCGAAGAGCAGTTTGAAAAAGAAGGAAAGGAATATTATTCTGGTACAAAAAAGCGGAACTGTCAATGGGGAAAGCATGTGGGCGTGGCCAATGATCCTCATAACCAAAACCACCGTTACCTGAACCTCGGCCACCAGAATTTCTTTTCCACAGCTTCGACCGATTTCTTGCATACCACCATAATAATTGTGAACGAATGGTATTTCCGTTCACCATCTACGTATTGAACACTAACCAATATTTTAAAAATCAGATCACATCACTAATCACATCAAAAAGTATTTTTCGATGTCTTAAGAAATTCGTTTTGTTTTCAGGAATGATCTGAAAAAATATTTGAACAGTCCATGAATAGGTGATCTGTTTATACACATTACATGAGCTTCCAGTGACTTCGATAGTGATGTTTCAAGTTGATAAAAATTAATAATTCAAGAAAAACAGGTCACATGGAATAGGCGAATCAAGTTGTTCTTTTTAAGAATGACGTGAGAGAAGTTTCGAAAAAACCAAAGAATAACATAATTCCTTCCTTCAGGAAGTTTTCGGTTCCACACACAGATAACGAATTTCACTATTTCCGTTTTTTTTTTCTACCGTATTCTTGTTTGTTTTTATATATATTTTTTTCTATTGCTCAAAATGGAACCACACCCTTTTTTGAAAAATATTCAGATATGAAAAAAAACAAGAAAACAGAACAACATGAAAAAGATTCTTCCGGACCATAGGCAAGCCGTAGTTAGTTTCGGATAGGGTTGACCGTTTAAACGATAGGCTCCGCCCACAATTCTCTTGGCTCTTTTCGGCTGATAAGAAAACCTCGAGACTTTCTCTCTCTCCCCAGTATATATGCATTGATAAGGTACATTTTCTGTGATTTCCCTCGGTTTTTTCCGTCAGTTTCACCACTTTCACTGTTTTTAGAGAGTCTTGTGATTCAGTGTTTACCTAGCGAGTTTTCAAAGGCTTCCGGTAAAAACTGAAACAATTCAGGTTAGGAATTTTTGGTGTTCTGTTTGAACAAGCGTTTCTAAACTTGATAATTTTCCATTTAACACTCTGAAAATTGAGAAAAAAATGAGTCACTATTTTGTTTTTCCTACAGCATTGAAGTCGTCATCATTCTTGATTTTTGTCAATTTTAAATATCTCAAAGTTCTAATTTCAAATTACCAAGTCAGCTGGTTTCCGAGATACACCCACACGACTCGTGAGTTCTTGATAAGAATTTCCATTTCGTCTACAAACTCTAAAATTTCGAAGAAAGTGAAACTGCGGAGAGCCCTTCCTGATAAGACGGTGCTCTTCGCGTTTCCACGACTGACGAAACCATCCCAACCGCCCATCTTTTTTCGTCATCTTTATTAGTCGCTACATAAGAATTCCTTCTAGAACATTCCAGAACTTGCACGTTTTCATTCTCATCTTCTAATCATTTCACTCTTTGCATGTCGTCCTTATCTCAGTTATCCCACATTTTTATAATTTCGTTTTTTTCTTCTTCTTCTTCTTCTTCTTCTTCTTCTTCTTTGGCTCATGGATAAACCCTCTCGGAGTTTCCAGCCAAGCCGTTTAAGAAGAGTGTGGCTTCGTAGTTCTTTCGAGACTCCTTCGCAAAAAGAATCAGTAAAATTTCCCTTTCCCAAAACTAGTCAGTTCCGTCTCTCATTATTTTTGGAAAAAGCAACCCTTTCTCAATTTTCAGGGCTATACGCAGTTTCCCCTCCAACCTCATTTCCGAATGTCGTTTTTGAATAATGATTTCGGCAGTCCGCCGCCAGCCACTTCATCACCACCGAGTATGCCAAAAATACCGACGATTCAGGATATGCTCAACAATATTGGAGCATCTACAGGAGGTATGTTACATTTTCATTACTTCTAGAAGCAAATATTGCCTTGTTTCAGTCAATTTGATTCAACCTAATCCATATCTTCAAAATCAAATCCCAACCAATGTTCCCCAATTGGCATTTAATCCATTCCTGCACATGAATCCTGCGATCAGTCAAGAAATCATTCAACAATTCATCGCAATGAGTTTTAATGCTCAAAATGTGCTCACAGGAATGGGCAATATTGGAGAGGACGAGGCTTCGTGTAATCTGAAAATGCGTCGTGGAGATCTTCTCAAAATGAAAAGTGTTTCAATGGAAAGTACAGAAGATCCCCCATCAATCAGTATTGATCCAAATGGAGACATGATTGTTCCAAATAATGATAAAGAAGGTAAGCGATGAAGGATGACCCCATTTGACCTCTTTGTTATCAGGTTGGTGTCGTAACAAAAAGTACATCGAGAGAACGGAGAATGGATACATGTGCACTGTTTGTAGAAAGGTTTATGGAAGATACAACTCAGTCTCCTACCATGTTACCATCTACCATAGGAATCCACCAATCAAGTAAGCCTACTGCTTCTACAGTAATCCCAGTAATCAAAACCTTTCTTTCAGATGCAACATGCCAAACTGTCAGTTCACAACCCGTGAGGCTCGATACATTCATTTCCATAAATACTATCGACATGGAATTCCACTTCCTCAGAGTATCGACCAAGGTATATATTTGTATAGATTTAGCATGCAAGAAAGAGGATTACAAAGATTCTCGGGATCGAAAACAGATCCGATTTAGCAATCTTTGCTCCAAAGAACCAGAACGAAAGAGCAAATAGATAGCTCTTTTTAGCATTGCAAATACTCTCGCTTTTTTCTGATAAACCATTCCGAGAAAGCGCGCGCCTTTCACTTTCCATACTCAATCAGATCATAAACTTTTGTTTTACAGGTTCTCGAAAATGTCCACACTGTCGTCACGTATCAAAGAGCCCTGCGATGCTCGAGAAACATATCAGGAGGCATCAATTGAAGTGAGTAGAGAGAGAGAGGGTCATGGGGTGTCTTTATTCTTATCAGGCCGTGACGGTTCTCGTTGTGTGTTACTTTCTTATACCTATTTTCCGGACACAGGGGAAAGTATGAAGCAAAAGAGTAAAGAATCGAAGAGGTATTTCATGGGGTTTACTGTGGTTACCCATAGTCATGTGGTGTGATGTAGAAAAGTTAGAGAACGGTTTAGATTTCAGTTGATCATCTAGAAGTCCAAAAGTTTTTAGCTGGTGTACTAAGCTTCTTATTATGCCTAAAAGTGATAGGACAACTTAGAACAATATTTGTCATGTTCACAATTTTTTGGATTACTCTAGTACTGCCAATATTGAAACTTTTCAAGTAGAAACAGTTCACCAAACAAAATGTCTATAAACATCTAAATTATTAATTTTTCAGGGATGAAATCTCCAATGGAAGCATCGATTTAAGCGAAGCAATGCGCGAGAGAACATCCACAATTTGTGATGAAACGATGGACATCGGAGAGCAAGAGCCCGAAACTGAAATCGTCATTGAAACGAAACCCCGCTCATGCACATTGTAATAATCCCAAAATATACTGTATTTATTCCTGTACATATCTCTTCGTATATGTGTATATACTAGTGTGAGAACTCATCCGGCATTTTTATGTGTGTTGTTGAATCTGAATTCTTGTTATTTATATCATCACGTCACTTTCTTTTTTCTCCAAATATTTTATTTGTCGTTTCGATTATTTTATGCATGTTATCAGTCAGGAAGAAAAAAAGGAATAAGAAGAGAAAAATAATAATGAAATACATAAAAAATTATTTTTCAAAAAAACTGTTTTGTTTACAAAACCATGGCGAGAATGAGGGAAGAATCTTTTTGAGAAAATAAGTACATCAATATCACAAATTTGGTATCAAAATTTTTTATGATGAAAGAGAAAAACAGCTAGGCCACCAATGGATCTCCCTCAGAATTACTTCCATTTAGCCCGGTCATCATCAATTTTTCATCCATCGATTCGTCTCGCATAGCCAAACATGGATTGGATGCGATGATAATGGATCGACGACGAGATCCATTCGGTTCGGTGACCAGTGCCAAACTGGTGTCAGCAATTCGAGTGAACTGAAAAAAAAGATTATATTGGAATAAGAGGTTTATAAATTGAAATCACATGTTTCGGAAGAATAGTTTAGGAAATAACTGCCAAAATAAAAAAAACGGAAGTTGATTTCGTTCAAATTATAAGCAGCCAATTCAATCAGCTGTCTGTCGTGCCTTCAGCGCAATTTAATCTGGTTATATACAATAGGAAACTCACCGATCCCGATCTGAAGTCCTTTGTAACGTGTGGCGATCCAATACGTCTATCAGCCAACTTCACATAAACCGGACGATACAGAACAATCTAAAAGGTTTTCTATTGTATTTCAGCCTCCTTATAACAACACTCACCTCTTCCTCCTTATTGATCTCTTCACCCTCTCCATCGTAAACTTGTCCTAATCGGAATTCCGGTGACACGTATTTTCCTCCTTCCACGTGGTTGGAACAGAAATCTGAAATGTGACAATGAGGTTAACACCCACAACGGTCAAGCTACCGTAATCAACAGGAGGTGGCTGAGTATTCGGGATACGGTATGGGAGTGTAGCAACGGTCAATGGAAAGTCGAGATGAAGACATTCGTTTCCCTTCTCGTCTTCCATGCAGACTCTCAGAACATAGTAGATCTGGATCAGACGACAAACTCCAACAAGGGTTGGAGGAACAACTGGAAGACGGATTGGTTGTTCCAGAGTAGAGTCGTATTTTCCTTGGGAATTCGCAGCAATGGCTGGGGATCTGGAAGAACTTTTCATTTCAAAAGATTCTCAAAAAATTTATCCTTTGATCCGTCCTTTTTCCACCTTCTCCCAATATGTATCTTGCAAATGACACTTGACAATGATGTCAAAATTCTCTAATAAAAACAAAAGAATAATGCTCACTTGTGCTCGAACACCACACATGACATCATCTTATTCTCTCCGAGCAGTCCCTTCTCCACAAAAACCTCGACATGTTGAACCAGACGAATAACGAGACTTTGTGCCGATGACTGCCGATTCTCGATTTGCGCTCGTACACGGATATTCTCTCCGCACACGTATGCCGTCCTTTCCAGAATGATTCGAAGTGCAAGTGCGCCGCGTTGACAGCACCAGCAACATGTAACTTTCCGATCTTGGGCGGTCAGTGGACTCAGATATTTCTCCTCCATACTATCGATATGTGGTCCGATGATTGTAAAATACTTGATTCCCTGTGGTGATGATGCATATGGAATGTCGATGATGACCTAGATGATATGAACTATTAGAATTTGGACTTTGTTTATAAAAAATTGTACCTTGAAATAATATCGAATAGTACAGTGTCGGCTCTCCAGAGAGCACGGAAGTGAAGATTGTGGTAGATCAAAATTAAACGAGAATTGATGGACGCCACGGGCAAGGATCGGCACGCTGTCTGATTCGTCGTTTTTGTCTGGAAAGGATTTGTATTCAGGGAATTCAGATTTGGTAAATCAAATATTCAACAAATGGGTTGTGAGTCACCTTGAAAAATTAGTCAACCAGAAAGTGAGAACCGGAAGTTCTAGGAAGTTTTGTTGCAAACTCGAAACGGGTTTAGAATTAATGCTGGGTTCGGTATAATTTGGGGCTCTGGGAAATTGCGCCATCGTGATAATACGGGCGAATAGAAAGGTTCCAGACTACAGAAACCATTTTTACGGGTGTCAATTATGATTTTTTATAATATAACAAGTTCTGAAATTCAAAAAAAAAATTGAATTTTTTTTTCAGAAACATTTTTTGAATTTTTGGAATTTCAGAGTATGAAAAATCGTATTTGAAATCCCTAAAACTGTTTTGTAGTCTGAAGCCTGTCCAGTCGTCTGTATTAGCACGATGGCAAAATGTTCCAGACCCTACTTTGGTACCAAAATCGAAGACAGAATAATATGATTTCGGCTATTTTTACCTTTTCCCCATAACAGCTGCTTTTCGTCTAGTACATACTGATCATCTTTCAACGTTCTCCGCTCTCCAGACTTGACAACTTTCAGTGTCGCATGTACCTTTCCTCTCAAAAGAACCCGAATTCCACGAATCTTGATATTCTCCGTGTTTTCCAGAAGTACGCTGCCACTGATTGTCTCGCCAGCATAGTAAACATCCTGGAAGAAAATTTTCTTTGTTTTTTTCATGTTGTTGTTGTTGTTGTTGTTTTCCTAGGATTTCTGTGGGAAAGCCTAAAAAGAGACTTGCCTTATTGAGCCTAATGTCAAAACTGGATATGTAGTCCATTCCTGATGTCTGCTCCTCGACCTGGAAAATTAAGAAAATATGTTATTCATTTTGTTTTGAAGAATTAATGAGACAGAAGCACGCTAGGAGAGACGTGCGCATCTAATTGGAGCTCTAGAAGAATAGAAAGAATCCAATTGACTTTTTTCGAGAATTTGGATGATCGTTTTGTGGTGCTGAAGACGTTGAAAAGTGAAGGAATACGAAAAAGAATAAAGAAGAAGGAGAAGGAGAAATAAAAGGTTGAGTCGTAAAGTCGAATCGGAAATGGAAATGAGAGAATGGAGAGAAATGGGCCCTTCGGCAAGTTTTTCGTGAATGGAGAAAGTACTACGGTATCTATTCGGAGTACTTAATCGGGGGAATGCCCATAAAAAGATCTTGAGCTTCTCGAATAAGACGACGTTGGAAAAGAAAAATGTGCTTTTTCCGTCTCTATTCCTCTCTCTAATCTTCTGGAATTGTATCTGCCGTTGGTGTGGGGCGAGAATTGGAGAAGACGTTAGAGAGGAAAAAAATAAGAAGAACCAAACAAAGAATGGGAGGAGGAGAGGATGAAATCGGTCCTAATCTCCTTCCAAACAAGAAATTATATGTATAAATATAAGAAGATTGAATGGGACTTGGTGAGAGGAATAGGGAGATGAAGGTAACGAATCACATGGTATCTTCGAGAAAGATCGAAAGTCGGTCAAGTGTCACTTCCAGAAAGGTTCAGATAAACTATTTTTTGCACAAGGGTCGATCTTGGAGTTTGGTCTGTTTTTGACGGGGGATTAGTGGAATTGGGAAGACTAAAAATAGAGGAATAAACATTATCTTCCTTATTGATAAAACGCTAGAGGCGTCTGTCCGTCCTCGTGTCCGTCTGTGGACTTTTGAAAAAATTGAAAAATACATATATATTTACGCGACCCTTTTATTTAGAAAAAGTGAGAAACGAAGCGACCAACATTTGAAAAAATAAATTGAATCGCGCCGAAGGTGCACCAGCTTGCTGGTAAACAATAATTTTTATTGAACTTCCAGATTATCC